TGGACAGCCCAGGCTCGCGTCCCGCCCCTCCCGTGCCGGACGTGTACCAGCCACGTCCTGCACAGTGTTGACTGCACGCCAGGCCCGCTCTAAGGCCACTACCAGGGAGAGCTTGCTACCCCACTTTCATCTTCATGACAACCCTAAGATGGAGACCAGCCCACCCACTTTACAGTTGAAGACACTGAGGACGAGAAGTTAGGAACATTCCAAGACACCATAGCTGCAGAGTGGCCAAGCTGGGCTCAAACCCAGAGGCCAGGCTGTGAATGCCTCCCATGATCCAAACCACCTCTGGGGAAGAAGACCAGAGGTACACCACCCACAGAGGGTGAGGGTGGCACGGGGTCCTGAGCAAGGACCCCCAGGGTGCCTCACTCCTTGCCTCCAAGCAGGGGCTTCTGAAACCTACAGACCCCAGGTCACAAGAGAGGGCAAGTCACCACGAACTCCCTGTGGCCCTGCCCCTCACCCGCAGCCACACAGGGGGCTCCCAGGGCAGGACCTGGGCAGACCTCACCTCCTCGGTCTCATACATGGTCCTCTTGGAGGAGAAGGGCGAGGGCTCGGGCTCCCGCAGCTCGCAGGGGTTCTCGGACGATGACAGCTCCAGCTCCTCCCCCTTGTCCAGTGCCACCTCCCACTGGGAGCTGCTGTGCTGCGGGTTCAGGGTCACCACTACCCTGCCGGGGCACAGGCCTGTCACTGGCCCACAGGCCTCCACACCCTGCTCCTGAAGCAGAGCCCCTTCCCTCCAGGAGCAGCCGCACTTACTGGGGCAGGAAGTACTTGCGTCCTGGGCCTCTGGGATCCAGGACTTTGGAGACACGCAGGCAGGGGACGGGCGGCTTCTCTCCCTCTTCGTAGGTGCCTGTGGGGAAACCCTCCCTCAGCCCACAGTCTGCAGTGGCCCAAGGGATGTGCTGCCCACCGCCCCAAGGCCAGGGAGAGGCTGGTGCCCATGAAGCCGGGGGGCAGGGTCCCTGCTTCCTACCATGCAGGTCGGAGCAGGTCAGTTCCAGGCGGGTAGGGGCAGGAGGGCCAGGTCCGCTGCTCAGCTCCGACCGGAACTGGGGCTCACTCAGCTCTAGCTGCAGCTGCTCAGCCCGCACAGCCCGGCCGGCCCAGGGGTCCCGCTCGGGCCGCAGGTCAGCGATGGGGAAGCGCAGCCGCAGCGTGGCCCGGGGCGCCGAGAGCCACACCACTGTCCGCTGCTCGGCCACGAGTGGGGGCTCTGTCTATGGGAGGGTAGGGGGGTTGCTCGGAGCTGCCTGCCAGGACCCCACTGTGGTCGAGAGCCACAGCCCACGCCCTGCCCTGCGTCTCACCATCAGGCTGGCAGAAGGCTCAGGAGGCGGCTTGGGGGGCATGCTGGCCAGGCGTAGCAGGGCGGCAAGCCGGTCCAGGGCTCCGAGCTCCACGTCCGCCTGGAAGTTGGCCAGCTCCAGGGCCAGCTCTGAGTGGCAGTGGCAGGTGGTCTGGTGCCGGGGTCGGCTCTGCAGGAGAAGGTGCTCAGGCCAGCGAGGGCTGGGGGCCGGGGTAGGCAGGTTGGGAAGGGCACCCTGAGCAGGCGGCAGGGAGAAGGACCTGAGGCAGACCATGCTGGTCTATTTATCTGCTCTCAGGCTCGGTAGCCAAGCAGGGGCTTTCTGTGTCGAGACAGGGACAGAGGCAGCGAGACAGGAGAGCCAGAGAGAGATGTGTCAGGGCCCGTGGATCACAGGTAAGGGGGATGGGTGTGGAGCAGAGCAGAGGGCGGCAGGGGCCAGGAAGGTGGGATGGATGCCAGGCCTGGGAGGAGCTGGTCACCTTGGACACTCGGCGCAGGGTCTGGGTGTGGCGCAGGTGGGCACAGGGCTGAGCGGAGGCCTGGGAACCCGGGCTGCTGGGGAAGCTGAGGACCTGAGAGGGGACAGGGCGGTGAGCAGGGTCCTGCCCCATCCCCTGCCCTGCCTCCAGCCCTGCCGTGCACAGCCTGGACCTTGCCCTCACCTCCGTGTACTCGGGCTCCTGGGTGCCCCTGGGCCACAGGCACTCCAGCACCTCAAGCTGCCCGAAGCGCACGTCTGTGCTGGTGGTCCGGCGGCTCTTGGGACCCACCCGAAGCTCCCAGGACAGCTGCACGGCCGTACCCGTGAGCCTGCAGGGCAGAAGACGGGCATCAGAGGGAGGGTGGAGGGGGTGCAGGGGTCTCCTTGGGCCCCGGCCTCAGGCTTGTACCGGACATGGCTATAGGGACAGGCCTTCTGGAAGCGTGGCCGGAGGTGGTGGAAGTCGCGGGAGCCGAAAGGCGCGTCCTTGGCGGCGTCAAACTCAGCAAAAAAGTGGGTGGGGAGGTCAGGTGGCCTGGTATCCGGGGCAGCCGTCTGCAGCAAGGTCAATGTCACCCCCCCCAGGGTCATCTTCAGCAGCGAGTCAGGGCGCAGGGTGTCTGGGAGGGGCGTGGGAACCGCCTTGCCTGAGGGGGCACAAAGGAAGCTTCATCAGGGGCTCCCCAGAGCTCACAGGTACCCCAGGTCAGGTGACGGGTGGACACCAGGCTGGAAGAAGCCCTGGGCCCCCCAGACTGTGGTGGGCTGAGCTGTTCCACTGTGTGGCTCAGGCAGGGCCTTGGGCAGGCAGTCTGACCAGCCCTCTGCCCTGGCTCAATCTAACCCTTAAGGTGGCTGGGAGGATGTAACAAAGCAGAGAGGACGCTCAGCCCAGGGCCTGACACCCAGCAAGCACTTGGCTGACTTAATCCAGAACATGTGGCCCTTACAGAGGGGAAAGTGAGCCTCAGAGCATGGCACTGGCCCCCAAGAGCTCTGGCTCTGTCTATGGCTGTCACCAGGGAGCTGCGCACGGGTGGTGGACTCCAGACATCCTAGGACACCTCCCCACAGACCATGGCAGGCCCTTCTTGCCCTGGACTCACCGGCTGGGCAGGCCTGGGTAGAGAGCCGGTGGGGAGAGGTACTGTACACAGAGGAGCTCAGGTCCACATCGGAGAGCTCAGAGAGCGCGGAGGCCACGCTGCTCGTGAGGCCGGCCATGGAGAAGAAGAGGTCTGCAAGGCCGGGGGCGTCAGGGTGTAGGCTCGGCCCTGGCTCAGCACACCCCAGCCACCCGCCATGCCCCATACCCACCAGTGCTGTCCTGGTTGACCAGGGGGTCCAGGCTGAGGGGCTCGGGCTCGGCACCAGTGCCCGCCTGCAGCTGCTGGTTCAGGTCCTGCTCGATCAGCCACAGGTCTTCCACACCCAGTGGGCGGCTCTTGTTCAACTTGTCAGCCAGACCCTCGGGGTCTGTAGGAAGACACTTCAGTCCAGGTGGCCAGCCCGGCCCCAGCCAGCCCCAGCCCCTGGGCACCCCGAGGCCTCACCTGCGAGGCTCATGGCACTGAGCAGGTCCTGGAGTTGCTGAAACTGCCGTGGGGTCAGGAGCAAGTGCAGGGAACCCAGCTGTCCAGCCACCTCCAGCTAGGGGCACAGGAGGGTGGCAGTGTAGCCTGCAAAGGCCACCCGAGCCCTCTGCAAGCCCCACTCACCTCTCCTCCTCCTAGGGAGGTCAGCAGCCCATTGCTGTCCAACATCTGCTACCACCTTACTGTGTGACCCTGGCCATAACACCTGGCCTCTCTGAGCCTCAGTGCCTCCCGCTACCAAGGGCCCAGTAGCTCCCCCCACCCGATGCCCTCCCCACCTCCCCTGGTCTCGAGAGGACCAGCATTGCTGTGGAGCATGGGATGGGGCACACGCCTTCCTCCCAGGAACTTGGGGACCCACCTTGGGGCCCGGTAAGGCCTCATTCTGCTTCAACTTGACCGTCAGCTCCATATACCCTGAGCAGCTGCCGATCTGCAGAGGGGGCTCGGGGGGCTCTTCCTGGAGACAAGAAGACATGATGTATGTGTGTGGGGGTGCTGAGGAGATGGAGTGAGCAATGGCGGGTAATCAATCAGAAAGGATGGGAGAGCCCAGGGTGGGGCTGGGGTGAAGGGCCAGAGAGAACGGGGGTTAAAGGTGCAAAGGACTGTGGGAGCAGGCAAGTCAGAGAGAGCCCAGGAATCAGGCCTCTCACCTGTGGGGAGAGCTCCTCAAAGTGCAGGCGGACCCCCGCCAGCTGCAGCAGCTTGTGGAGGAAGGCGGGCGGCTGGTGCACGTCCACTGGGGGCGCCGGGCTTGAGCCCCGCAAGGCCTCGTCACAGTACTCGAGCCTGGAGCGGGGGACTCAGCTCTTAGCCCGGGCCTCCCACGCCCTCTCCACGCACTGTTCTGCCGGGGGCTAGGGTCAGAGCCTAACCCCTCACATCGGCTGTCCTGGGCCACCCCATCCAGTCTGGGGCTTAGGCCAGTCCTTGTTCCTCACATCCCCAAGCCTCTAACCTGCCCCTGGGGCCCCAGCCGCCACTCCAGGTTCTCAACATAGCCTCATACCCGACCCGGAAGACCCCCCAGACCTGCCCACTACTCCCCAGGAGCCCAGGCAGAGAGGAGGGGCAGGGCCACGCTGCAGCCGCCACCCCCCCGCCCGACACCCACCTCTGCACATGAGCCTCCACTGCCACGCCGTGTTCCCGGTCCCCCAGCGTGTGTTCCACCCTCATGACAGTGTCCAGGAAAGTCACCTTGACCCTCCGCAGCACTGGGGGGGTGGGGGTGGGGGTGTCTCAGGCTCAGACCGAGCAATGGCGGGAGGCTGGGCCTTGCTGTGCCCGGGGGTCCTGTCCTGGGGCCACTCACCACTCTCAATGGTCTGGGCAAACACCTCCAGCCCCTCCAGGGGCTGGGGCGGCTCTGAGGGTTCCGGTGGCCCGTCCCGCAGGCACTCCTGGGCCAGTTGCAGGCTTGTGCTCATGCACGAGGCCCAGTTCTGCGAGTCAGCCGCCCCCGAGCCTGCGGACGGAAAGGGGCTCAGAGCAGGCAGGCCCCCTCTCTGCTTGCCCCCCTACCCTCACCGGGCCCTGTCCTCCGGCCCTGACCTGGGCCCTGGCGGGGCTGCAAGGTGAGCTGGAGGCCGGACACGTGCACAGTGCAGTGGTCGGTGAGCAGCGCGGCCCAGGGCACAGCCACCTCCACGGAGCCCACGAAGCCTTCGACCAGTTCCAGCGGCGACTCCAGCGACTCCAGCACCTCGTTCACAGACTGGGAGCGGGTGGGGGCAGAGGCGGCTCAGGGAAGCCCCAAAGCAGGCTGTCTCCCCAGCTGCTGCCCCCCACCCCAAGCTTCCCGGCTCCCCCTGCCGCCTACGGGGCCCTTCCTTTACCCCTGCCGACCCCTTCAAACCGGCTCACGTGCTTCCTTCTACACTCGTTTCAGAAAGTCTAAGCACCTTCAACATGCTGACAGCTTATGAGTACACCAAGTATCTGCAATGCCCCCTGCCTCCCCGGGGTCAGAGTGTTCAGTCTGGGGAAGGGTGCTCGGGAGGTGGGGTGGGGGCTCTAACCACCGTGGGAGGTCAGAGGGGAGAGCTGAAGGGTGAAGCAGTTGGATGGTGGGGCCTTCCAGGCCAGCTCGGTGGGACCCACGCTTGCTCTGGGCTGAGACGTGAAGCCTGAGGGGAAGAGTGCCCAGGAGGCAGGCAGGGGGCTGACCTGGGGCCAGAGAGGGACCCTGGCTCCAAACCCATGGTGGAGCTGTAACCTCTCTGGGGCAAAGGGTGAACCTCTAGTTAAAGTGTCTGTTGGCGTTGGACCCCCTGCCTTCTATGTGTGACCCCGGTGGCACTACGGGGTATCATCACCCAGACAGCACCTTTTGGACCCAGGAATAAACAGCAGGGCCAGATGGCCCACTGAGATGTGTCCAGGCTCTTCACCCACAGATGCAGGTTGGGAAACTGAGGCTTTGAGAGGGGATGGGACGGGTCCGGTCACCAATGTACTGAGAGGACAGAGGTGGGGACCCTCAGGCCTTTATCCCCATCCTCTCCCAGGCTCTGGCTTCTGGAGTCTTCAAGGTGGGGGCTACAGGCCAAGCAGCTGGGGGCAGGAACTGGTTACTAAGAAAGAGCCCACCAGGCCCAGCTCCTCCCTGGGGGCAGGCTGGAAAGTAGCTTAGCTAGGAGCAAATTCAACCCCCAGCTGAAAGGAGTAGGGCAGGGCAGGGAGGGAGTATTTTCTGGAAGTTGTTGTTGTTGTTGTCGTCGTCGACTCATAGTGACCCCTCCTGAGGTTTCCAGGCAGTATCACTAAGGAAGTAGATTGCCCAACCTTCCTTCTGAGGAGTGTCTGGTGGGTTTGAACCGCCAGCCTTCTGGTGAGCAGTCAAGTGCCTTAGGCACTAAGCCACCAGAGCTCCTTTTCTGGAAGTAGAAAGGGGCAGCCCATAGGTCTTTCAGTCTAAGGAACTGAGGTCAAAGGTCAGAGAAATCCCCTTCTGGAACTCACAGCTAAGGGCTCCTGGGAGCTGCCCCCACGCCAGGGTTCCCGTGTTTGTTCAGGAGGCCTGACTGACCTCCGGCTGCCTAACTCCTCCTGCTCAGAGTTGCAGGCTTCTGCACACCTGGTGGCCATGTGACCCCCTCCTGAGGCCAGGCCCCTCCTTCTGTCCCAACTTCGAAGCTCCTGACTCCAAGCCTCCCCCGACCCCAGCTGCTCTGACCAGGAAGACTGACCCAGTGCCAGCCCAAGGCTGGGGCCTCTAATTGGAGTCTCCTTTGCAACTCCCAGATCAGTGGAGCTGTGAGTCACCGCCCCTCACCAGCCCCAGTTTAGGGCCTCTGACCAAGCCCAGCCATCTCTCCTTTGGCCTCCGGAGCTGAGGACAGGCCTCCCTGCTTCCCAAGGAGTCCCCTCCAGGCCTGGATGCTGACCCCCAAGACACTCCTTCAATACCCTCTGGCCGGCCCACTCTCTGCAACTCCAGGAAGCAGACAGTGCAGGAGTCACACGCGGTGTTGATCAACAAGGGCTGTGACGTGCTGTTGACATCCACATCCGGAGGGAACCCCACCCCCTAGGGCCAGGATCGCCGGCTGGGTCAGGGGGTCAGGGTACCTTTTCCACAGGTGCTGGCCCCAGACTCCAGACCCCTGCCAGCCTGCCCTGCCCCACTGTCACTGCCCTGGGGGGTCCCACCAGAGCCCTGGTTGCTCAGCTCCCTCCAGTGCTCGCCTCTCCATTCAGTCCTTTTTTTTTGGCACCCTCCAGACAAGTGACATCCCCCTTCCCAACCTCAGCTTTCCCTGTTGTGAAGTGGGGACAGGAACCCATTCCCGCCCAGCTTCTGGCTCTCTGGAAAAGTCCTGGGGAGTCCAGCTGGGGTCCTGGATACCTGGAAAAGGCCAGGACTCCCGGCCCAGCCGCACCCGCAGCCTGGTTCCCCTGTCCGGCCGGCGTCGCGAGGAACCTCTGGTCTCCGCGTCCCGACCCCCTCCCCAGCGCCCTCCCAGGCTCGGGCCTGGCTCCTCACCCAGGTCTCCAGGTGGATGTCTCGGAGGGCCACGCTGCCCTTGTACAGATCCAGGCTCAGCTGATCCAGGCTGAGGTCCTCCTGGAAGAAGTGGCCCAAGTAGTGTTGCAGCAGGTAGCGACAGACTCGCTCTTTGACACTGTTCGACCATGGCCACAGCCATCGTGACATCTCGGAGACCGCTGGGCCCCGGCCGCCTCCGCTCGCCGTTCGCCCGCGATCCCCGTCCGGCTGCGCTGTTCACTGGAGCCCCCGGCTCGCCCCGCCGCTTCTCTCAGCCCCAGGCCGCGCCCCCGGACGCCCAGCCACGCCCCCCACGCTCACTGTCATTGGCCATTGCAAAGGGCGAGGCCTAGTGATTGGCCACGGGAGGCGGAGCTTTCGAGCGCGAAAAAGGGACTGAGCTCTCTGCATGACAAAGTGCTCCCAATCATGATTTACGCTTGCGTAAAATTACTGTGTGGGAGGACCTTTAACCTCAGTCTACATACTGTGGGTGGGCTGTGGCTTGAGGTGCCAGTCCTGCAATGCAATGCGCATGTGCCGACTCCTCCAACTACTTCAGGTAGTTGGAGAAAATTTAAAGGGACAGTGGCCCGTCAAACTTCGTAGAAAGCTACCCTGAGGGATAAAAACCAGTGAGAGTTCTGCAGTCCGCAGCTGTGGAAACAATCCAATAAACATTTGCATGTTACAAAACGCCTTATCATCCTTTATCTCTTCATTCAATCCTCCTAAAACCCCTCTAGGCTATGGCCTATTGCCACCAGGTTCCAAACATAGCCGAGAACCCTCCACCTGAGAAGTCTTCCATCCGCTCCCTGCGGGGGGCGGGGAATCGCACCAGGAGATTAACTGACCCTCCCTTCTCCCTGCAGTTGGTCACGCCTGGGGCCTCTCTGGAATAATACCAACTTTTCATATTTCTAAATCCTAAAATCAGTAAAGAATGGGTTCTAAATCCCCAGACCAGCCGTGAATTGCTACTGCACCGGCCTTAAGAATGGTTTAACATTTTTCAAATTGTTGAAAAAAATAAAAAGAAGAAATTTGAGACACTTGAAAATCCTATCCCTTCAAATGTCAGTATCCATAAATAAAGTTTTGCTTAAAGTTTCTCTAGCCATTTTCTAGGGCCGCTGTCCCATGTACCGCAGAGCTGAGGACTTGAGGCAGAAGCCCCCAAAAGCCTAAAATATTTATTTTCTGGCCCTTCACAGGCAAAGTTAGCTTTGCAGCCTTGGCCCCACACACAACCTGTGCTGTTCCTGCCTGTGCCTACAGCTTTCTTTTTGAATAAGGAGGCACTCTGGTGTTGTAGTGGTTAAAGCATGTGGGTACCAAAAGGTTGGCTGTTTGAACCCACCAGCCAACTGGTGGGACAAAGACGAGGCGGTCACCTTCCATAAGATTTATAGCCTTGGAAACCCTGTGGGGTAGTTCTACTCTCTTCTAGGGTCGCTGTGAGTTGAAATCGAGTCAATGGCAGTGGGTTTGGTTTGTGCTTCACTTCTTTATGGGTCGGAATCGACTCCATGGCAGTGAGTTTGGTTTGGTTGGTTTGGTTTTCTGTAAAGAGTGACAGCCTTGGAAACCCTGTGGGGCAGTTCCACTCTGTCCCATAAGCGATGCTATGAGTTGGAATCGACTCCACAGCAGTGGGTTTGGTCTTGGGTTTTGGAAAAGATGGACTCCATTGCAAAGTGATGCCGACCAAGGTCAGCCTGATCCACAGGGACCCTGCGCCCCCAGGCCAGGGGACCTGGACTCCAATCCTAGCCCTGGGTGGCCTTGGCCATGTCACAACTCCTCTGTGAGCCTCAATGTTATCCCCTGTGACCTGGGGTTGCACAAGCAGGCAGTGTACCGTGGCCTCTAAGGAAATTTCAGGAAAATTGGGAAGGTCCGGCCCAGGGAGGCAGGCAGGAAAGATGGCTACTCAGGAAATGCCTGTAGGATGCAGCTCTGCTCCCCACTACAAGTCGGGTATGGCGTGTTCACTAGGTGCTCACTCAATGAATAACGATAACAGACACGAACTGAGCACGCGTGACATCCGGGCCCTGGCCGCCAACCTCACACTCGCCATCTTATCTGCTCCTCACCAGATGTTCACTCGGGCGGTACTATTAATATCCTCATTTTGTGGAAGAGGAAGTAGGGAAGTGGGGAGGCCTCGTGCCTACACGCCTGTGGAGCAAGTGAATGAACCAGCACTTTTCCTCGTCTCCTTCCGGAGAAGGGCAGTGGGGCTCAATGGGCGTATTCTTAGGGGGCCCAGGAACAGTCGTCCTCGTGTGCAGTCTAGCAGCATGTGACCCTCCCGGTGGTGGGAATGGGGCGCACCAGCGGAAAGATTGGACTGGGCTGTGCAGAGTGTCCCGGCCCCCAGTATTCCCCCAACGAGGCAGGCTCCGGGGTCTGGCCGCACTCACGTCTGCCTCTCCTTGTAACTTGACTGCTTGGTACATTCGTCTCCTGAGCCTGAATCTGTCTGTTGATGGGACACAGAGCTGGGTCTGCACCAAAGCAAAGGATTAATCGAGAGCTGGGAGGGGGCATTAGGGTCCTTCCTGCCACCTCCCCCAGGCAATTCCTTCATCTTAGGCACCTCTGTCCCAAGCCACTTCAAAGTTATAGTCATTGCCCAGCCTCGCTCAGGTCACAGCAGAATGAATGAAATGCTGCCAGGATAAAGTGGACAATATTCTCTTGGGAGGGAAGGTGATGTTGGTGATCCCAAAGGAGTATTCCGAGGATTGAGTCCCGTGCCCTGCTTTTGGCCTAGACAGGTCTGTGTCCAGCAACTCCAACAAGTACAGTGGCAGTGCTGCACACGGTACCATGGCGGCACTGCACACGGCACCGTAGTCAGCCACAGCTCTAAAAACCATGCTGGTGCTGCACACGGCACCGTGGTGGCATGCACACGGCACTATACTCAGCCATTGTCCAGTCGGCCCCACTCCCAGTGACCTTGCACACCACAAAAGGAGGCGTTGCTTGGCCTGGCACCGCCCCCACGATGGGTCCCAGATCAGATTGCGGGCTTTCATTGGCTGATCTTCAGAAATAGACTGGCAGCCCTTTCTTCCTAGTCTGTCTCGGTCTGGAAGGCCTGCAGAAACCTGTTGAGCATCAGGGCCACACAGAAGCCTCCAATGACAGACAGGTGGTGTCTGCACTGGAGGTGCATTGGCCAGAATCAAACCAGGGTCTCCCACGTGGAAGGGGAGACTTCTACCAGTGAACCACCACGGCCACAGCCCGGCCCATCACTGCAACAGGAGGCTTTTACTCAATGACTGAACCCTCAGACAACTTAAACTGGGGGCCGGGGTTCCCATAGTAAAGAGGACGGGGAGGGAGAGGGCCAGGCTGTGCCCTCACTTTAGATCAGGTGGGGGCGCAGCAGGTAACACAGCATCTGAGGCCTGTGGGAGGCTCTCCCTCCTCCAGGGAGGCCCACCCAGAAGCCCTCTGGGGTGTCCTGGAGGGATGAGGAAGGGTGTGGAAGGGAATCATGGCTGGTGGCCTGGGGGCTGTACAGGGATCCAACTGAGCAGAGCTCCCTGGGGTGCGTCTCAGGTTGGCCTTCCCATCAGATGACCCTCCGGCTAGAGGATGCTAAAAAAATGGGCGTTCAGGCTGCAGGAGCCCAGCCGGGTGGCTCAGGGAGGACCATGAGTACAGTGGGATCTGAATATGGAGAAATTTCATCTGTGACTTTCAGAAAACCATCAAACTGGACACTTTAAATGGGTGGATTGGATCTCAATAAAGATATTAACTGGGTCGATAAGCAGCATCACGATAAATGGAGAAGAGACTGAAGTTGTCAAAGATTTCAGTTTACTTGGATCCATAGCCAACACCAGTGGAAATGGCAGTCAATGAATCAGATGACATATTGCACTGAGCAAATCTACTGCAAAAGACCTCTTTCAAGTGCTGAAAAGATGTCACTTTGAAGACTAAGGTGTGGTGCGCCTAACCCAAGCCATTGTGCTTTCAACCACCTCATATGCATGTGAGAGCTGGACAATGAGTAAGGAAGACCAAGAATAGTTGATGCTTTTGAGTTGTGGTGTTGGCGAGGAATACTGACAGTACCCTGGACTGCCAGAAGAATGAACTAATCTGTCCTGGAGGAAGTGCAGCTGGAATGCTACCTGGAAGCAAGAGTGGCCAGACTTCGTCTCACTTACTTTGGTCATATTGTCAGAAGGAACCATTCCCTGGAGAAGGGTATCATTGCTTGGCAAAGCGGAGGGTCAGTGAAAAAGGGGAAGGCCCTCAACAAGACAGATCGACACAGTGGCTGCAACGATGGGCTCAGGCACAGCAAGTATCGTGAGGCTGGTGGAAGACTGGGTAGTGTTTCATTCTGTTGTACACAGGGTCGCTATGAGTCGGAGCTGACTCAATGGCACTGAAGGACAACAAAAGATTTTTTTTTTCAAAAAAAGGAAGAGATTTCAACCTCGCACCCCCAAGTGACCTTGAATCTATTTTGAAACCTATTTCAAATTCTGCTTCATCCAGGAAGTCTTGTAACTCTTCTCATGTTCCCATCTCCCTCACCCCCAAGCCCTCAAATAGCGTACCATCTTGTACAAAGCTCTAGCCATCCATGGTTGGCCTGGCCTTGAGACCCTCAGAGTCTAGGTCACTGGCCCCCAGGGGCTGAGGTGGAGCCACTGCCCTTCTGACCTAGGCTGGGAGGTGGGACTTGGCCGCTGGTCCCTCTAATGATACAGGCTCCAAGGTGTCTCCCTGTCATGCTGGCCCCAGGGATGTGGGAGAAGCCTCCTGTGCCTGGGATGTGGGCTAGAAGAGAGATCACAGGCTCCCATTTGACAGAGGGTAACACTGAGGCCCAGATGGGTGAAGCCTGCTGCAGATTCCGAGCAAGGGGCAGTTGCCAGGTGCAGTGGTACAGTCCTACAGCCCAGCCTGGTAGGCTGCGGCCTGTTTTCTGATGCATGCGGGCACCCTTGGGCACCCAGGCTGCCTCTGCAGTGGGGAGGATGGCTGGGAGGTTCCACTGGAGCACTGGATGTTCAGCAGGGGCCAAAGCAGGGGAGCAGAGGCTGAAAGGGCCACAGCCCCTCCCTAACCTCAATGCCCCTTGTGCTTGCCAGCTCCTGCTGTTCAGCGTGGGCCTGGAGTTGCTATGGGGCCAGGCAGACTTCAGGGTAGAGATTTCACAGGTAGTGCTGGGGCTGGGGCTCAGAGGTGAATGAAGGGAGCTGGGGCCCAGGCTTCTAGGACTTTAGGGTGGGAACTTTGGCTGGAATGCCCAACTCCTGGAGCTCCATTTGTGCCTGATCTCCTGCAGCAGGGTTTTGAACCAGGGGCCCTCCTAATGCAGCTTAGGGACCAGAGAGACTGGGAGGTTCATCCAGAGAGCCTAGCCTGCTTGCGGTGGCGTGGCAGCGCCAGGAGGACACTTCTGACGCTTTGCCATAGCCCTTTAAAACCGAGACTATGATGTCACCATACCCAGTAAAGGACGGGAGGGGGACTGCAGGCCTGAGGATGGACTACATCTCCCAGCAGCCTCTCGTGAACCACACCCCGCCCAGCATGCCCCGACTCGCCGCGGATCGTTAACCCATCCAGTGCCGGTTTCCCAGGGGCCTCTGAAGTGTCCAGCCCTTCTGGGTTGGAGGAGGGCTTCTCATGGCGGTGGCCTGGGACAGAGGGGCTCAGGCGATTCCTTAGGCCCGGCATAGGATGCTGGCCCGTTTCATCCCAGTGTGCTGTTATCGCCCCTAGCTTCCTGGTACAAATTCCTGAGTCCTTTTCATACGCCACGCAAACTCCCTTCCAGAAGCCAAAAGTCTAGCCCCAGCGAGGCCTCTAGTCCACGGTACTCTCTGGTTTCCAGAGCTGGAAACCAAATCCCGAGTCCGCACGCAGGGTTACCTCGGGCGCTGGTCCGCCCCCTTTAAGCGCAGCGGGGACTACATCTCCCAGAGGCCCCCGGGCCCGCCTGGCGCAGCCCCCGACCCCCCCACCCGCGGGGAGGTACGGGCCGGGCGGGGGGAGGTGACTTGATGTCATCCTGAGCAGCTGGGCGCGGGTGCCGGTGCGCACAGAGCTGGGCTCCGCTGCGCCGCGCCGGGTCGGAGTCGCGGACTCCAGGCAGAGGTCCGTACTCCGCTGGGGCAGCCCGGAGCCTGCGGTGCGCCCGCCCCCCGGGCCGGGGGCTGAGCTGGCGGGATGCTCCAGCCCCCTGAAGCCCCCGGGAGAGGAGAACCCAGGAGATCCGCCGCCTAGCTCCAGCGCCTCTGAGCGGCGCCGCTGCCCTCCACCCCCACGGGCACCCCCGGAGGGCTGGGGACCAAAGTCTGGGTTTCTGAGAAGTGAGTGTACCCCTACATCAAGGGCCTACGAGGTTTGGGGGGCGAGGAAGGAGGAGCTGAGGTGGGGGAGGGTGCCCAGGTTCCAGGAGAGGGATGGCATAGGCAAAGGGCCCGATTAGAGAAGCTCGCTACAGGACCAGGGCCGCATTCTAAAAGAGGCAGGACCGGGCCCTATTCCGAGTAGGAGTAGTTTGGGGGATCCGGGTTGTTTTGGAGCCAGGGGCTTCTCATCTGCAAGGAAGACTATGGGAGAGGGCTGCACCTCTCTTTTAGGGCCTAGGCAGGGGAAGGAGGGAGAAAGAGAGGCCCTTCAGTTGCAGCCCCCAAGTGTCTTTCCAGAAGGAACTGACCGGTTCTCTGTGTGTCTTTCTAGTCTACCTTTGTGCCCTGACTTCATTTCCAAAAGAGCCGGATAGGAACCCTAACTGGACTTTTTGGGACCCCCAGGAAGGACTTGAGGCCTGAGCCATCCTCCTCTCTAGTCTGCCTGCTCCCCAGGACTGGGCAGGTGCCGGAGGCCCTGGGGGGGGGGCCCAGGACTGTGGTCGTGCCCCCCCCCACATCCCAACAGGATGGGCCCAAGTTAGTAAGCCCAGCCTCAGCCAGCAAGCTCCAGGCCCCGAGGGACTCCCGGGGGCTCTGAAAGCTTGACCTGCCTGGCCGCCATGGAGACGAAGTTGCCCCCCGCAAGCACTCCCACCAGCCCCTCGTCCCCGGGACTGTCGCCTGTGCCCCCGCCCGACAAGGTGGACGGTTTCTCCCGCCGCTCCCTGCGCAGGGCCCGGCCCCGGCGCTCCCACAGCTCCTCTCAGTTCCGTTATCAGAGTAACCAGCAAGAGCTCACGCCGCTGCCCCTGCTCAAAGGTGAGGGCCAGGGCAGCCCTGAGCCCCGAGGGGGTGACCCGGGCTGCGAGGGCCCCTTCCAGCCCTGAGACGCCACTGCTCTCCCAGCCCTCCAGCCCTCTTTGCTGACGCATGGCCGGACAGGCCTGTCATCCCTGGGGGTGGGGCATCTGCCTGTGGCCCCACCCTGGGGGGCAGACCAGGGCCAAGGGTGGGGCCGCAGCCTGGGCTCCAGGAGGCCACCAGCAGCCCAGGCAGCCCCTGAGACCCTGGAGCTGGCTCACAGCTGGCTTCCTGCCATCGCTGGCAGCCTGGGTCGCAAAGTCTGACTGTCCTAGCCAGAGGGGACCCTAGGGTGCCACAGTGAGAGAGAGGTCCCCCAGGGCTGTGGTCTTCCTTGGAAACAGACCAGCTGCTTCTGGTCCTGGGTTAGGACTGGATGGAGAAGGAGCCGCCCCTTGCCTCCCCCGGCCCCCTGGAGTGCAGGCTGGGGCGGGAGCTGTTTGTTCTCTGCTGGGGTCAGATGGCTTTAGGGCCCCTTGCTCCCCAGATGTGCCGGCCTCGGAGCTGCACGAGCTGCTGAGCCGCAAGTTGGCCCAGTGCGGGGTGGTGTTTGACTTCTTGGACTGTGTGGCCGACCTGAAGGGTAAGGAGGTGAAGCGGGCGGCCCTCAACGAGCTGGTGGAGTGTGTGGGGAGCACCCGGGGCGTCCTCATTGAGCCCGTGTACCCAGACATCATCCGAATGGTAAGCACAGGCTTTGGGCTCCGGGGGGCATGTGGCACCCAGCCTCTAGGGGGGCTCAGGGGCATGGTGGGAGTCTTCTTGGTTCCCTGTGCAGGGAATAAACCTCACAGTCCATTCTTGGTGCCCCCCTGCCACCTGGCTCCTGGCCACTCGGTGCCTTTGGGTCTGTCCTACCTCCACCCCTTTGCTCTGCTCTCTCTGGAGAGAATGCCCTTCCATCTGCCTCTCATCTTCCATGGCCTGGCTCAGATGCCCCCTCTTCCACGGAGCCCTCTCTCAGTGCTCAGGAATGTCGAGATGTTCCCAGAGCGCCCATAGGTGGAGCTGCTTCCCACCTCATTTTCCTGTTGGACTGCACCTGCCTAGATGGGAGGGGTGCCCTCCTCCACCGGGTCCCCAGCACTAGGTGTCCAGTTAATGACGGCTCCGGAGTGAGCCACTGTGCAGTTGACAGGAGCTGGGGTTGACCCCTTAGGACACTGGTTGGGGCTTCCGTCTTCATGGCTTCTCCTTGAAGACCTTGACCCTACCTCTCAGATCTCAGTGAACATCTTCCGGACCCTGCCGCCCAGTGAGAACCCTGAATTTGACCCTGAAGAGGATGAGCCCAATCTGGAGCCGTCGTGGCCACACCTGCAGGTACGAGGGGCTGGGAAGGGCCGGGGTCTGAGCTGCAGAGGAGATGGAGGGGCGCAGAGGTGCAAGCCCTGGGGTCACGTGAGGGCCCCGGGGTGGGCGAGCGGGAGGCTGAAAGAACCTTTGTGTTTGTGGCCCGTCCCCAGCTGGTCTATGAGTTTTTCCTGCGTTTCCTGGAGAGCCCAGACTTCCAGCCCTCTGTGGCCAAGAGATACGTGGACCAAAAGTTTGTCCTGATGGTAAAGTGAGGAGCCCAGGCTGGAGAGGGAAGGCATCGGGGGACAGGGGCAGGCCTTCTGGGGGGGTGGGGTGGAGATCAATGGAAGCAATGGAAGCTACCACCTGCGGTTGGCCTCCTGCTTGACCCCTGACCTGGCTCCCCCAGCTCCTGGAGCTGTTTGACAGCGAGGACCCCCGGGAACGTGAGTATCTGAAGACCATCCTGCACCGGGTGTATGGCAAGTTCCTGGGGCTGCGGGCCTACATCCGCAAACAATGCAACCACATCTTCCTGAGGTGAGTGTGTGCTGCGAGGCCGGCCGGCAGACACTTGCAGGACAGGCGGGAGAGGAGAGGCAGGGACTCCTGGGCTGCGGGTGTTTGGAGCTCTGGCTTACCGAGGTCTTCCTTGCATGTTAACTGTGCAAAACCTGTGAGGTCATCGGAGAGAGGATGTTCATTGTACAGATGAGGAAATGGAGGCTGAGAGAGGGGTTTGCAGCGATGGTCGGTGGCAGGGCCCAGGATCTATGCCTTGAGGCTTGTCATGGTTGGTCGTAGGGACCCAAGAAAAGATTCTTCTGCAAACGAATGTTGAGCACTGGTGCATGGACCCCGTGGCTCTGGAACTAGATGGCCTGCGTTTGACTTTGGGTCCCGATTCTGGGTGAACTTGGCCAGGTCCTCTTCCCCTAGCTGGTCTGTGAGCTTTCACGGAAGCTCTTGCCTAGTTCACTCGTTTCCGTGGGGATAACGACCATGCTAATTCAGACACAGGCCGGGCCATCATGGTGAAACAGGAAAGCGCTCAGCCCAGCTGCTGGTCTGGGGCAGGGATTCTCTCATGTTAGCTTAGGCTGTTACTAGCTACAAAAGACGTGGGACATGAACCCTGGCCTCCAGTAGTTCGTAATCCCTTCAGTTCTTCACTCGGTCACTTTGGGGCTAGTCTCGTTTAAGTACAGCCCACTTTTGTGTAAGTTCTAAGCCTCATTGCTTCGTCTGTACCGTGGCTCTGGGAGTCGGATGATGGTACACAGGTAGGTCCTTGATACTAAACAGAAAGTTGGCAGTTCGTGTTCACTTAGGGGCACCTTGGAAGAAATACCTGCTGGTCTGCTTCCCAGACATCAGCCCTGAACCCGACGGAGCACAGTTCCGCTCTCACACACGTCGGGTCGCTGTGAGTCAGAATCGACTCAGCACCAGCTTTTTTTTTTTTTAACGATGAGTCCAGCACACCCTCCATCCTGAGATCCTTTCAAGAATGCACGGCAGACGTGATGCTCTGAGTGCCTGTCATTCTTCTGTCTGACAGGCGTGAGGAGTGGCGGATGTAGGCTAAGGGCCTGCTGACTGGATGGGGACCAGACAGTGGGGTCGGGATATGAGCTGGGATGCTTCCTAGAGGAGAGGTTTGAGCTGGGACTCAGAGTGGCAGAAGGTGGCTGAGCGCTGAAGGGTGTTTCTGGGCTGGGTGGAGAACCCAGAGGGGCCTGGTTTGGGCACTGGGTTGAGAACAGGGGCATTGGGCTGAGGGAAGAGTGGGTGGGCCGCCCTGGTTGTTGGGACCCCTTCTGCAACCCCCTCTGCCCCATCCAGGTTCATCTATGAGCTGGAACACTTCAACGGTGTGGCTGAGCTGCTGGAAATCTTGGGAAGGTGAATCTCCCTGGGCCTGAGCCGGCGCATCTGGGTTCTGGGAGGAGGGACTGGGGGCCCGTCTCCCTGAGCCTCCTTCTCTCTTCTGCTTCTTTCTACAGCATCATCAACGGCTTTGCGCTGCCCCTGAAGACCGAGCACAAGCAGTTCCTCGTCCGGGTCCTGATCCCCCTGCACTCCGTCAAGTCTCTGTCTGTCTTTCACGCCCAGGTGAGGCTCAGGCCTGGCCCTGCCAGCAGGGAGCATGCCCCGCAGGGGCAGCAGCTGCATGGGGCCCTGCTGGCCAGCCTGCTGCCCCGCCTCCTCCACAGCCAGGGCCCAGCCACACGGGGCCATTGGCTCAGGGACCCCTTCCCTCGGTCCGTTTCTTTACCAACTCGTTCTTTCTCCCTTGGAGGATTCCCATTGGCCCTTTAGGGCTGATCTCAGGGAAAAGCTGGGAGGCTCCCCCCTGCCCTCCTCTCCCTCCCTGCCCTCCTCCAGTCCCATAGATTGGCCTGTATGATTCTCTAACAAAACTCTGGGCAGAGCTGGTAAGAATTTGCTGAGCGTTTCCTGTGGGCTCAGCATTGTGCAGCATGCTTACTGCGTTGAGGTCCAGCCCAGGTGCTCAGTAAAGGCTGGCGATCCTGAATGTGAGCCCTTGCCTCGACTGTCCCGGGCGGCCAGTCCCTGGCCCCCGGTCCTCCCTGACCCCGTCTTCTTTCTCTCCCCCGACCCTCACCCCGCAGCTGGCATACTGTGTGGTCCAGTTCCTGGAGAAGGATGCCACCCTGACAGAGCACGTGAGTACCTCTGGGGGGGGCAGGTGGGCCCCCGCCTCTGCAGGTCTGACTCCCTTCTGCCTTCACTCCGACAGGTGATCCGGGGGCTGCTCAAGTATTGGCCCAAAACCTGCACCCAGAAGGAGGTACAGAGGAGGGCTCTGATGCCCACTGGAAGGGCGGGCAGACCCAGCGTGGTGGGCCGTCAGGCATGTGGGGGAGATGCGAGTGCTGCTGCCCTCTGCCCGCCCCCGCAGGTGATGTTTCTAGGGGAGATGGAAGAGATTCTGGATGTCATCGAACCCTCCCAGTTTGTGAAGATCCAGGAGCCCCTCTTTAAGCAGGTGGCTCGCTGTGTCTCCAGCCCCCATTTCCAGGTATGGGGCAGGGACGGGAGCTGGCGTGTGGCTCGGGAACGTTGGCCGGCTGACCGGACACAGCTCCCTCTGGCCTCAGCTTTTCCTCTGCTGGGTCCGATGATGGGGAGATGCCAGACTTAGGAGACCCAGGGTTGAGGTTCAAGTGTACTATGCACTGGCTGAAGGGCCTTGGGCAAGTCACTTCACCCCTCGGAATCTGATTAGACTAACTCACGTGTGAAATGGGCCAACAGGGCTCTCTTCCCAGGGCAGGGGTGGGGGTGGGAGAGCTCCTGAGCATGTTCCTGAATGGTGTGGGCAGTGGTACCACCTTTCCCCTTAACAGCCCTTACATTTCACTCATCCCAGGGCCAGCCAGGCTTCCCACACTGTCCAGGCTGGCTGCTGCCCATGGCCTCCTAGGTGCAGACTCTGTCCCGATTGGACTCACAGCGACCCCTCCTTGGGTTTCTGAGGCAGTATCACTACTGTAGATTGCCCAGTCTTCCTTCCAAGGAGTAGCTAGTGGATTTGAACTGCCAGCCTTCTGGTTTGTAGTCAGATGCCTTAGGCATGACACCACCAGAGCTCCCTAGGAACCATACCTTGGTAAAAGTCAGCTCTTCTTCCCAGTAACTCTAATACTTTAGTTTATTGAATAGCACAAGGCCCCATATTTTATTGGATTCTTGCAATAGCCCTGTGAAGCCATTTCACACATGAGAAAACTGAGCCCCCGAGGTTGAATGCCTTGCCCGAGGTTGGTGGCCAGTCTGCAGTGGACCTAGGATTTGCCTCTGAAGGTTCCAGGGCTTAGATGAGCCCTGAGGATGGGGGGTGGGGGATAGGAGCCCTGGGTTTGGAATGGGGGTGGGTGTGGGTAGCTGACCCTAGGCTCTCCCCGTGCCGCCCTGCCCGGCCCAGGTTGCGGAGCGGGCTCTGTACTTCTGGAACAACGAGTATATCCTGAGCCTCATTGAGGACAACTGCCACACGGTGCTGCCTGCTGTGTTCGGGACCCTCTACCAGGTCTCCAAAGAGCACTGGAATCAGTGAGTGCCAGGGCTTGGCCCACAGAGACCACGACCAGGCGGGCCAGCCAGGACCCTGGACTTAAGCTGCAGAGGGGTGGGAAGGCGGCTGACGCGTTGGTGCAGAGGCCAGGGAGACGGAACTGTTTGTTGGATTTGGGGCTGGTCAGCCAGAAGCCAGGTGAGAAGGGCAGGTGCGGCGCAAGGTGAAGCTGCTCTCATCTGCTCTGTGACCCCCCCCCCAGGACCATTGTGTCTCTGATCTACAACGTGCTTAAGACCTTCATGGAGATGAATGGGAAACTGTTCGATGAGCTGACAGCTTCCTACAAGCTAGAAAAGCAGCAGTGAGTGTGGGGGCTGGGCAGGGGGAGGGGAGGAGCAGGAACTGGATCCTCAGGCCCCCTCAGGCCCCCCCCGATCCGACGGGGTCCTGTCTCCCTCTGTCCCTGCCCAACAGAGGCCCCACTGCCCACTGCCTCCTCCGGTAACTCTTGTGACTCCCTGTAGCCACGCTGCCCGCTTCAGCCCGGGGCCATGCTGCAGGCTGGGGCCGGCTTCTCCTTGGCGCACTCTGCCCGCAGTGGGGGCCCGTTCTTGTCCTCCTCCTGCAGCTGGGCTGCCTTACCCTGTCCCCGCAGAGAGCAGCAGAAGGCCCGTGAACGCCAGGAGCTGTGGCAGGGGCTGGAGGAGCTACGACTGCGCCGGTTACAGGGGACCCAGGGGGCCAAGGAGGCCCCCCTGCAGCGGCTTACACCCCAGGTGGCTGCCACCGGGGCTCAGAGCTAGAGATCCCCACCGAAGAGGAGCATGAAGCCCGGAGCCTGCGGTTCCTCCATCCCTCCTCCTGCCCAGGGCCCAGAGACACACACTGACCCCCGGCCTGGGCAGATGGGCTCCGAGGGCACCCCGCCTGGCCCAAGAGGGCAGCTTTCACAAGGGAGAGGAGGAGGAGGAGGAGAAGAAGGAGGATGGTGGTCTTGGCAGCAGAATTCTCAGGCCCTTGTGGCAGGACTTGACCAGGACAAGCTTGACCAGGGGGCTGCCAGCCGGGATCTGCATGGCCCACAAAGCTGGGGTCCAGAGCTCCCGGCCTTGGGCAGGGGGGCTCCTCCCCACGCCTGCCCCAACCTCCTGCCGGCGCGGGGTCCTCCTCACCCCCCATGGGCTCCATGGTCTATTTATTCTCTCCCACGTCCCTCCACCACAGACACGGTCCTGGGCCTGGGGCACCGCTCTCCCTTCCCTCCCTCGCCCTGTACGTCTGCGTCCCCTTTTTATTTATTGGGCAGGGGGAGGGGTGAGGGCACCGATTCCCAGTGTCCTGGCAGGGGAGGGGTCACAGTAATCATGGTCCAGCCCCTTCCCCTGGCTGGGGGTGGACTCAATAAAGAGAAACTTGCACCTGCTCGTTTTATTTAGCTGGGGGGACAGAGAGGGAAGAGGGGCGCTGCAAGACGGGGAAGGGGCAAAACCCCTCCTCCTTGGGAGGTCACGATCCTAGAATCTTAAAGGGTGAGAGCTGCAGAAACCGCCTTTAGAAAACCCCTTGTAGCACGTCTGTGGCCAGGCTGGGACCCCGGAGTCTTCGGGACCCCGGGGGGAGGAGGACAGGCGAGGGCGGCTAGTAGCGAGCGAAGCGACACACGTTACACTGGCAGGCCCTGGCCGTGTAGATGTCCATGCTCACCCGCCGGTTCCCTGGACACTGCACCTGCAACTTCTCCTGTGGGACCGGAGGCCACCCTGTCAGGGGCTCTCCAGCCCGCCCCTCCCCACAACCTCATGCCCCCACGGGCCTGGCCCCTCCTGACCTTCTTCAGGCTGCTGATGGTGCAGCATTCTGAGACCGAGGTGATGGTGCGGCGGTAGTCGCTGGCCACCAGCACGGAGTACCGGGAGGGGAAGGCGCTCGACTCACAGTGGCCCACGCAGGCCTGTACCACCAGGGAGCCCTGGCAGGTACCCTCGTGGTCGCTCCGCACGGTCACATTTAAGGCTGGCGGGGGGGAGATGCACCCAGCATGTCTGTGCCTCTGTGAGGCTCTCAGTAGGGTGCTGCCTGCCCAGAGGGCCAGGCCATCGGCTCCTTTCTCCCACCCACAATGCCAGCCGCCCCTGGCTCTCTAGTCCCACGTTACTCACGGTGCAGGTAGCAGCCTGGGACGGCGGCCGCCTCAGCCCAGCCTGCAGTGACTGCCAGGAGCAGCAGGCTGAGGAGCAGGGTCTGGGGGGACGCCATGAGTACCTGCAGCACAGTGAGGGGGTCTGCCTGCACCTGGGTCTTCAGTGCCATGTGCTCCAGGGGAGAGGGCTGGCGAGGCACACCTGGGCATGGCTGTCTCTTCCCTGTGGGTGTGATGTGTCTGCCTGTGGTGGCCCTGGTGGCTGTGTGAGAGCGGCTGTCCCTGGATGGTGCCACCCACTGTGCACGACTCTCCCTGAGAACAGCCCTCACCCCCTGGAGCGCCAGCATCTTCCTCCAGCGGCCCCACCTCGCTGCCGGCCACTCTGCGGTTCCGGGCCTCCCAGTCCCTCCAGCCTGAGCCCGCTCACCACTTCCAGGAACAGAGGGGCTGAGTCTGAGTCTCCCCGGGCCTCCCGCTGGTCTCCTGCGGGTGCCAGTCCTGCTCCGGGTTTTTATTGCTGTGTTTGGGAGCCACGCCCCCATGGAGCTCGCTTTCCCGCCTGTCCCCCCCCACCCCCGCAGAGGCCCCGGAGCAACCCCACCTGGGAGAGGCTGGCCTCCCCGGGGATCCTCCGCAGGCCACTGCTGGGCCTCCCTTCTGTCCAGACGGCCGCCTGAGGTCAGGGCCCTGGGACGGGCCTGGGCCACCTGGGTTCTGTTCTCAGCTATGTGACGTGGGCAGGACGCACCCCTGTTCAGAGCCTTGTCGCCCCTCATCATCATAAATACCAAACCCAGCCCTGCAGAGGAGAGGGCCTGGGGAAGGGGACCCTTACAGACACAGATGTCACACCAGTGGGGTCTCCTGAGATGGGCCTGACGGCAGGTCAGGGAGAAAGAGAGGGGTCCCCAAAGCCACTTCCGAGTTTCATTGTTATGGTGTCAACAGGGTGACTTCTCATCCTGTGTGTCAGCTATGCAGGGGCTCCTATTTGCAGGGTCCCCCTAGTCCCTGAATAATGGAACCTGACTCCCCAGAACCCCAGGAAACCTGATCTGGCTCCCATTTTACAGGTGGGCCAACTACAGCTCCAGGAAGAAAAGGCATTCACAGTCACACAGCTGGTCGACGTCAGGGCTGATTTCAAATCCCGATCTGCAGCCGTCCATCTGTGGTGCCAGGGGCAAGGATGTGGAAAGTCGGGAGAAGACACCCGGGCAGCAGAGGCCGGAGGGGCAGGGAGGGGCGCGTGGTGACTCCGGCCCTGCCTCCCGACCCGCTCAGAAGGGCTGCTCAGAGCTGGAGGCCGGAGGCGCTGCAGTCTGTCAACTGTCAACTCCCACTCCCTGGTGCTGCACAGAGACAGGCAGGACCGGAGAGGAGAGCGCGGCCCCACGGCTTCTCTGCAAGCCAGTCAGAGTCAAGACGGGGGTCCCCCTCCCGGCTGAGCTGAGCCTCCCAGCAGCTCTGTCAAGCAGACCATGTTTGGGACAATGGGGCAAAGGGTGTCAGCACCATTTGACAGGAGCTGGTGTTCCTGCGGTCCCTAATCCTCAAATTCTCACCCTCCAGGTCTTCCCCTCCGGACCCTCCGGCCTCAGGCCTGTGTCCTCACGCACCCCGGCCCACCCCTTCTCCCCATCAAGGGCAGGGCCACCCACTGGTCATGGGATCACCGACAGCTCCCAGTTCCGAGACTTCTCAGCACACAGAGTGGCCCATCCTGACAACAGCCGTCTCTCAGTCACAGAGTGACGCCTTAGGTTACCTGGGGAGGAACACCTCAGAGGAGGAGGGTGGGAACGGCTGCGCGCCTCGAAGAGTGTGGTCGATGCCACCTATGGATCGTACGTGTAGGTGTGGTGACTGCCGAGCTGCTGTGGGTTTCACTGTGCATGTCCTCAACAACAAAATACATTTTTTGAAAAACGGCTTCCTTTTTTCTGAGTTAAAATCGGCTCCCCTGAATGTCCATGTCTTATTTGGGTCCTCTGCAGCCACACAGGTCTGTCCCAGATGAGCCCTCCAGTGACCTGCACTCAAAGGTCAGAGGGTCTGGCTTCTCCAGAACCAGTCATTCCCCCAGTCAATTTGATCCGCACGTGTTGGTCTCGCAGCAGGGCTGACAGATAGGGGCCTACTGAGCGCCTACATCTGGGGGGTCTAATTGGGTGAAGGGATGGACTTCTCAAGGGTCACCAGGGCTCAGGACGGAAGTCCTGCAGTACCCCATCCCCGTCCTCTCGGCAGGGAAGTCAGAAGTCTGAGGGTGGTGCTGGACCCACCTACCCAGGTGGGACCTACGGGAGGTTTCGAGGGCCCCTTTGTCCTCTCTCTCTCTCTAAGGCACTGACCTCAATCAATAACTCTTCATAAATAATTTATTGTCATTAGGATCCTAAGTGCTACAGGCAAAAGACCTAAACGGGCCCTCAGGACAGCAACATTCACAGACCAGAACATTTTCAAGTTCCATTCTCTTTTCGGGGAAAAACACTTGATGATAAAGGGGCAGAGGCCAAGACAAACCGACGAGAGGGGCGGCTGCCAGGGTCTCATCCTCCACATCCCACCGCGCTGTCCTAAGGGGGGCGGAGTAGGCGGGCCCCTCAGGAGGTGCTCCTCTCTCCAGGACGCAGTGCAGCAGGAAGGCGGGCTCACGGGCTGCTCCTTCGGAAGAAATAGCTGAACGGGAAGAGAGTGCTGCAGGGGCGAGAACAGGAGAAGCTGGGGCTCCGCGAGGCCTGCGGCCCTTAGCGCTTCCGCTGCTGGGGCTTTGGGCTCTGGGGAACCACTGAGTGGAAATTGGAGACCGGAACAGCATTCAAAAGGCACCCAAATTAGATTCTGCTCTGGAGGGGGAGCTACGGAGAGCTGAGCTCTACACAGGGAGCTGCAGACACCGCCAAATCCGGAGGGAGGAGCGAAACCTCCCAGCCCCAGACCTCCTCGAGGCCCACGTGCCCTCTGAACGGCCTCTGGGCCAGCTGGGTTGGTGGAAGCCCGTGTTCCAGGCCCTGCGCTGGGCACATCGGGGTGGGGGTGGGCTGGATAACATCGTAAGACAGGGTCTTCGCTGAAGTCACAGTCAGGTCTGGCTGTCACCTTCCCTCCCGCTGTCTATCCCGGGCAGGGTCACAAGCCTCTGGGTGATCTGCTGTCCACTCCAAGTTCTCCAAGAGACTCAAGGAGCAGGCCCTGAAGCTAGTCTCCCGGACCGCCGCTTGACGCCAGAGAGAAGGCTGTCCTACCTGAGAAACCCAAAGAAGCCAGTGGTCCTTAGCGCTGTGGGTGCTCTGGGTGGAGGCGGACTGTTCCGCTGCGGTGACGGGGATGGAGCCAGCGGCCCTGCCTGGCTGTCCCCGCACTCAGAACCTGCAAGGAAGAGACACGGGCAGAACAAGGTGGCAGGCTGCAGGCCGCTTTCATGTAGGGCGCAGAGACAGGAGCCACGGGCAGCCTCAGCCCAGGGCTCGTCTGAGGCCAGGTGGACTGGCCGTTCCGACCCTCCCAGCTTCATCTCAGGTCAGGAAGCTGCTACTCCGACCTCAGAGGATCTTCACAGGCCGGCCCTTGAAATCTTTCCCATCACAGCTGCTATGTCTTCCCAAAAGGAACAGCTACGTGGTGGCAAACACTGCTGCCACTCCTGCTGCTGGAGGGACCGCAGCGCAGAGGGACGCCTCACGCTGGCTACCATGCAGGGGCTGGAAGGGTCAAGCTCACCGCACAGTCCCAGCCCTTGGAGACCATCCATCTTCACCTTCAACAAACACTAACGCCCCGAGGACTCCTGGAGGTGACTCTCTAAGCAGACAGAAGAGGCAGACACGTGCCCCCAGCTTTCCCGTGGAACCCACCCCCACCCTGAAACAGTGTGAAACACCAATCCCCCCCACAGAAGCCGAGGTGGGGCATGCACTGCCACCCTTCCCCCTGTGGGACGCGGGGGGCTCCTGTGGCTCTGGGGCCGGCTGACTGGAGCAGGCTGCAGGTCCCTCCCCAGCACCAAGTGTGTCTATGCTCAGAGCTCTGTGCTGCTTGGCTCACTGCAGAGCAAGGGAACAGGGGCAACATGAAGGGGACAAAAACCAGAACCACACCCGCTGCCATCCAGTCAATGTGCACTCGACACAACCCCCACTGGGTTTCCGAGGCCGGCGATCTTTATGGAATTAGACTGCCCTGTCTTGCTTCTGCAGAGTGGCTGGTGGATTTGAACTGCCAACCTTCTGAGTAGCAGTCGTATTCCTTAGGCACTGCACCACCAGAGCTCCTTAATATTAAGGGAAAGGGAGCAGGGATTCCCTGGCACCTACCCTGTTCCCGGACATCACTGCTGTCGAACACTGGGGTCTCCTGCCGTTCCTGCTGGCTTTTCCTTTCCCTGTTCTGAGAAAAGAAGACCAAGAGACATCTTGACCTTTGCTTCTGGGCAGTCCGGTGGCCTCATGCTGGGTGCTGGTGCACTGGCTTCATGCCAGCGCCGGGGCCTTGGATGGCCCAGCAGGTCCTACATTTCCTTGTACAGTATCTTCTTTCTCCACTAGCTTCCCAAGCACTGTCCCTTCCGAACTGTAAGACTTGAGAGCCGAAAACAAACAAAGTTGGGCTCAGTCACCATTCCATGTTACTGACTGCCTACTACTGCAGAGGATGGGGTAGTGAGGTTGCAGAAATTGGGAGATAGAGGAAAATACCCTAACCTGGGAGAAATGTAGAGCCTGTGGGGTAGAAGTTACCATGATCCACAGACCACACGGCAGTGTAGTGAGGCTACAAACAGGTCTACGCAGCGGGCTGTGAACGCGGAGGGCGCCGCTGCAGGGTAGGCAAGGTGAGCGAAGGCAGGGTCCACAGGGACATGACACCCGAGTGGGGCCGTGCTGTAACGGGGGTGAGGAGAGGATCAGTGTGCCCGGGCATTCTAGACAGGGACATGATGTACAAGGCAGGCTGCCACTGAGGAGTAAATATAACCACCACACCAGAGCGAGGGGTAGCAGCACTGGGGGCCGAGAAGCCAGCACAACGCAGTCAGCAGGTTGTTTCTCCTGTTAACGCTCCAGGGGCCTCCCTTTGTACTTTCTAGGAGACATCCTACAACCTGGTTCCCAGCCCAGAACATTCTCCAGTGAACACCCTGCTGGTCAGAAACATGGTTCATGTATTGTCTTCGGGGATCTCTGCCAACTGGCCACTCCCCTCCCGCAGCCGGAACCTGAGTGCCCAACCACCCGGCCGTGCTGGGAGTCTCTCGTGGTGTTTTGCTGTGAAGAGGCCACAGCCTGTCAGGGTGGGTGTGGGAGGCAGAGGCTGGCCAGCCCCCCAGAGAGTGGGCCCCATCCTTAGCAGAAGCTTTAGGCCAAGAGGGCGGCTTCCCCATAAACCCCTCAAATCAGACCACACAGCCCGCCATCCATGCCACATCCCTCCAAAGGGACAGGGGACTCTGGGGAGGAAGGAGACCAACTCTCACCTTCCTCGACAGGGCAGAGATGGGACTGAGGGGCCTGGGCCAGCTCTGGCTTCTAGCTCCAAGGAATGATTCTTACAAACTCAATGCAACTCTGGTTTGGGGCTTAAATCCTGCTGTGACGAGTGGCCCTAATGAAAGCATCTCCTGAGGCTGGCAGTGGGAACCAGGAAGGCAAAGGCCTGGGGACAGAGGTGTCCTCTGAATGGAAAGCTGCCCTCGCCAGCTACTTTCACTTCCATGCTCCCTGAAATCTCAAGGGAGAACGTCTCAGGCGAGTCCTAAGAGAGGACAGACTTTACAGCCTCTGAAATAAGACAGAGGGGACTATGTGGAAAGCCACCCTGACACTAGGCTGTCCTCTGCAGGCTCAGGGCCAGATCCGCCTCCGGTGCAGGCCAAGCAGAGGTGGCCTAAGAGCCACGTACATGACGGTCGGTTCCACCCCGAGCCATCTGTCTGCTCGCCCCAGAGGCTGGGTCTCTGAGCATCGGACCCGAACTGCCAGAGGGCACGGCTTCGCCCTTCCTCCCATCGCCCCCCCAGACCTAAGCAGGTATGTGCGGTACTCGTCTGAGCTGTCCTTGCTCAAGCTCCTAATGTGTTCAGACCTGCATGATCCATGCTGTGATCCTCTACCCCAACTTCCCCCAAAGGGCAGAAAAAATACTAAGCAGTGGACCGTAGGAGGCAATTCAATTTTTCCAGCTCAAGTGACTTACACTGAGAGCCACTGTGATCACTTTAATTCAGGAGAAACCTGTGCTCAGGGAACAGGGTCTGCAATGGAGACTGTCTTTGGGCTTTGAGTCAAAATCAATAAACATGTTCCTTCTGGTTGGGCTGCACTTTGCTCAGAGTCGTTTCTAAACCCAGTATCAGCTTGAGAAGGTAATTATGTTGAGTAAGAAGCTGTGGGCACTGTTCTTGGAGGAGATGATGTGTCAAACCAAGAATAGGAAGGTGGGAAGGGTAGGGAGTGAGGGAACGGCTCTGTTCCCGGCAATCATCTCCATGATCTCGCAGGGTACAGCGCCTTTGTTCGCCGTGGCTTCGCGTCCTCCAGTGGTGCTCATTCCATCTTTTTACCTCTAACGGTGGGAGATGTGGGAGACGGGACAAGGCAATCAGCTGCCTGGAATCCCTCCGGGGCCGGCTGGCCAAGGCAGGACTGAGCCCCGGAACTCTCACTCGGCCCCACAGGCAGCGCTCTCTCAGTCTTTAAGGCTGCCTTTGTCCCCCAGTGAGCCCAGTCTGACACAGGTGCATGTGCCTAGGGCCCTGCTTAAAGCAGACAGAATGGCTTCTCGAAATGAAAATCCCCTCACTCTTCCATCCTTCAAAATGGTTTAGTCAGTTCCTATGATCCGGGCCCATGGCCGCCGGCCTCTCCAGGAACATCTCTCGCACGGTACCGAGCCCCACGTGCGCCGGCTGGCAGTCACCAGAGCATCTACTTCCCTGTCCCCCCTGCCTTGGCTCCTGAAGCCGCTCTGAGCTGTTCTGCACACCGGCCCCCAGCACTCGGTCTGGAAGAGGTTCCCCTTGGCGCCTCAGTGCCCTCTGCCTCTCTGTCCCCTGCTCCCCCTGCACCCCGTCTCCGACTCACGTCTGTAACTGTCTGCTCAGCCTCACATTGGCAGTCACTAGGGTTGGAGTGATGTCCCCAGTACTCCACACACAGTAGATACTCAGTGAAAGATTGATGGATCAAGCATGTGTAAATGTTTGTGTGATAATTTAGCACCTTAACGCCCTGGGAAGGTGAAGGAGGTGTTGTTAGTGTTACTGTACTCTGGTCAGAGCTCCTTTGGAGAGATCAGAGAAGTAAAAAAAAAGGGAAGGATCTATAACGAATGGGAGCTCTGGTGGCAAAGTGTCTAAGGCATCTGACTGCTACCCAGAAGGCTGGCGGTTGAAACCCACCAGCCACTCCTTGGAAGGAAGACTGGACAATCTACTTCCGTAGTGATACTGCCTCGGAAACCTCAGGAGGGGTCGCTATGAGTTGCATCCGACTTGAGGGTATGAGTTTCATAACGCCTAACAGCTAACTGCTATTTAGAGAGGAGAGGGCAAGAAAAAGAACTCTATGGTAGAGACTATTACAAAAAAGGAGCTCTGGCGGCATAGTGGTTAAAGCAGTGGGCTACTAACCAAAAGGTCAGTGGTTCAAACTCACCAGCTGCTTTGTAGGAGAAAGATGAGGCAGTCTGCTTCCACAAAGGTTTACAGTCTTGAAAACACTATGGGCAGTTCTACTCTGTCCTACAGGGTCGCTATGAGTCGGAATCAACTCGTTGGTAGTGGGTTTGGTTTTGAGGTTTGTGTGAAAAATAAGCCCTTAGGTGGAGGCACAGCAGGTACCTGAGTATTTAAGGGGAAAAGAGGTCCCGCAGATGACATCAAGCCCGAGGGCTAGTCTGCTGCCACTCCAGTGTCTAAGCACTCTTTCTTATGGTCTCCTGGGCTCATAAGTGCCCATATCACCTGAACAAGCAGACGTGGCTTGACTCAGACCTCAGAGCAGATGATGGCAACAAGGTTTCAGAGACTGCATTCTGTGCTGGGTCCCACCTCAGTCCAATATAGACCTGGGCTCCTATCACAACTGCAGAGCGGCCAGCAGCCAGCTGAGCCAGCAGCGAGGGGCTTTCAACAGAAGTCATCAGCGTGTGCATCACAGGGCCGCTGCAGGGACGGGGTGTGGGGTATGTGGGTACACGGCTGCCGTGGGCATGGGGTGTGGAGTGTGTTGCATCACAGGGCCGCTGCGGGGATGGGGTGTGGGGTATGTGGGTACACGGCGGCCGTGGGCATCGGGTGTGGAGTGTGTTGCATCACAGGGCCGCTGCGGGGATGGGGTGTGGGGTATGTGGGTACAAGGCGGCCGTGGGCATCGGGTGTGGAGTGTGTGTGCATCACAGGGCTGCTGTGGGGACGAGGTGTGGGTGTGTGCATCACACAGTCGCTGTGGGGATGGGGTGTGGCAGGCAGAGTAGTTGAAAGTTGCCCTGCAGACAGTGAAACCTAAGAATGAGTTCAGTCAATTCAGTCTGCACTCAGGACCAAGATGTTACCAGCGTAACAGGAACGCCAACTTTTAACAGCAGCGACAACCAAGAGTCTAGAAGCTTCCATTTGGGTACTCACCCTCCTGGTTTTCATAGGGGCCTTCTTTTTGCTGGGGACTTGGCTGGACATTCCCACTCTGGCCCTAAGATGGGGGGGAAAAAGCCCAGAAAATGTTACCATAGCAGCCACGCCACCACACTCACGCAGCTGTGGCCCAAATGAGCATTTTAGCAGGCTGGCTGTGCTTCATAGCACTCCTGGGTACACTGGGTGGCCAGGCTCTCTTTGGGGGCTGCTTTAATTCACAGTAAAACTCCAATTTGAAACCCTTAGAGGTCTGGGGGTGGAGGAAGGGAAAATGTGATTGACAGCAAAGTATCAGGTTTTGAAACAGTTGATCGTGCATCAAAACCCAGAGACAGGGAACATCTGAGACCTCATCTCCACGGGAAGTTCAGTCCAACAGAGCAGAGAAAGCGTCACCCCTCCCAGCGCCGCACACCCCACATGGCTTCCACAGCCTTCCCTGACACAGCACCTGGAGGGTGCAGGGTTCAACTCCGTGGTGGTCTGCCCTCAGTGCCCTGGCATCTCTAGGGCCCTCACAGTCCCAGGAGAAGAGCAGCGGCTGTCTGTGAACCTGGGGGGATCCCACTTGGGGCTGGGGAGCGAACCACATCCTACATCACACCAGCAACTCTGAGATGCTGCTGGAAACGAGACTGTCTCGCTGACTTTCTGCTCCCGACAGAATCTAAAGGATATAAGGGCTCACAGGACAGCAACCCCAATGTGTCAGGAATGCGCTTACACACTAGCACCTGCCACCTCACTTGCCAATCCACACACGCACTCGCAAACACAGACATTTTACCCTGGACAGCCTCTTAAGATGGCATTCCAAAACCTTACTGCTCACTAGGTAAGAGAAGCGTGCTTCCTTTACACTCACTCTTTTGAGGGCTTCCCCATGTTTTATACAATGTTCTGGGACTTTCTAAGTTTTGTGCCTTCTGACTGCTTTCTGGCTGTATTACCACGGGAGGGACTCACTGGCTGCGGGCAATTCTCCTCACCTTTTATCCTGGGGAATCTTATTTGCTGGGGAGCCACCACGTTCAAATGATATTGCAAATCCCAGCCTGCTTCCCTTCGAGTCCGCCCACTGGGCCAGGCAGGTACCAAAGAAGCCCGAGAAAGAAACGGATTCACCCCAGGCAGGCCAGCGAGCAGCAATGGCTGGCAACGCCTGGCTAGGATGCAGGGTTTCACCTCTCCCCCAACAGCACTGACCTGTCCAGCCCTGGCGTCCTGGGGGGGCTGGAGCCCTCTGCGCGTCTTCGCTTCCTCATCATGGTTCCTGGTGATTTCTCCTCAGGCAGCACCTTCAGGGGGAAACCAGGTTCCCATGGCTCCTCCTTGCCCAGCGCTGCTCGCAGCTCAAGAGGCAAAGTGATGAGAACTCCCCATCTTTAAAACGCCAAAGGCAACTTTTCACAGCAGCTTTGCAAGCAAGGATAGCTATTCTGTTAGAGAGTCGTCTCAGAAATCTAGCCAAGGGGACAAACAGGCTGGTGTCTACGATTCTGAACAGGCCTGGGCAGCAACCAAGGGGCAAAGCGAGGGGAAGAGAGGAGAAAAAGGCTTGGACAACAGGTGACACTGGCGATTTTCATTTGTACAGAAAACGCTAACTTACCAACCCAAGAGAACCGTCCGTTACTTCTTGTCCTACAACAGGAAACATGAGTGTCTTAAAGGGTCAAGACTCTGTTTCATCCACATCTCTGGCCACCATGTGCTTCCCTGACCAGCCCTAGGCGGACTGCCCTGTGTGGCTTTCTCCCGTCCGTCTGGAACACGGTCTCCTCGAAAAGCCAGTGTCTCCAGCTCTACTTCCTATTTCAGACTACTGTCACCTACGAGCTGAAGGGGGTCTGACTCACATCAAACCACAGCAATACGCCGCAGAAAAGGGAGACAACTCCTACTACAAAGAAAAAACTAGAATTTCAGGTATCGGTGACAAATGAACTAGAGAGACATTTTAAGGCAAAGCCTTTTTTAAATCCAATTGGCAGGAGCCTGCTTATCCCTCTATGAGAGAAAATAGCGATGGCCTTCAGAGATTAAACAGAGAGAGATATCTTTAAGAGGCCATTGAAGGGAAGGTCGGAACACTCGGATGTGGGAGTAAGTAGTTCTATAATAGAGGTCTTTCACTGAGTGATTACTTAAGTCAGACTTTGTTCTTCCTGTCTGCCGGTACTTACAGAGTTAATTCTTTCAACAACTCAATGAGATAGGTACTATTCTTCACCACTTTACAAAGGAGGCACAGAAAAGTAATTTCTCGAAGGTCACTCAGCTGTTACGTGGCAAAGGCACCAGGACTGGCATGAGACAGTCTGGCTTAGAGAGCACGGTCTCCCCTGTTCGCTGTGTGGTGTCCAGGCCCAGCCTGCACTGCCAACCTCAGACAGCCAACCTTCCCCTCTTCCTGCTCCACCACCCACACTTCCATCTACTTACCAGGTGACAGGTTTTCAGGAAACCATTTCATCTCCACGTAGAGAATGAAAACAAATGGGTAGGGGACCAAGACAACTTCCCCGTGTTTGAATTTCAGGTGGGAAACGCTCTCCCATTTGCTTTTATCTGAGAAACGGTGTTAAGTAGGGAGAGCAGCAGCCTGTCCATGAGGACGAGGACGATGCCAGGTGAGGCACCTCCTCCTCTGCCTGACTCCCGCCCCCACTGCCCCCTGCCCTGCTGCTCCCACCACATCTGCATCCTAAGTTACAGCTCAGGAAAGGAAGGATACAGGGAAAGACAATGAAGTGCTCTGTAGCAAACGGCTGCAGGTCGTCCAAGTTTCCCAAGACCACACGAACAGAATCCTGGAAAAAAATGTATTTGCAATGACTATTTAGTAGTGCAAGTCCCAGCCAATCTTCCCACTTGGACTTGTCACTGCTCTTCGCATGTGCTGTATTCTGTGTAAGAACCGTTGCTCTTCCCTGAATATGCCCTCTGCTTCTCCATTGCCATGCTCTCGCACAGACTGCTCCCTCTGCCTAAAAGGCCCTTTCTCCCACCAGCACGTGTACAGATTGTACCTATCCTGTGAGGTTCAAAGCCGCCGTCCGGAAAGCTTTCCCTGATGCTCCGAGCTTTAATTAACCATATTCTCAAACTGGACAGCAGTTACCTCGTGGCCTTTACTACATCCTTTGTACGTTTTCTTTTCCTTACTGGATGTGAAAACAGTGACATGGAGTCAGATCTCTAATTGCGTGAGGGGTAAGAATCACCATCAGCATGAGGCCAACGCTGATTCCTATGAGGTGAAGGTCACACACACCTCCATCCTCCTACCTTTTTATTGGTTCTGATACCAGTCATCCCTGTGGCACTCTCATTCCCTGCTCAGTTCGGTAATTTGTTGCAGTGACCACAGACCACACTCACAGTTACGTGGTTTATTAGGGAAGTAACAGGCTACAACTCGGGACCAGGATAGGATCAGGAAACGCGGAGGCCAAGTCTCCCTTCTTCGGAGCAGGACGGCGCTCTCAGCATCTCTTGGCCACGCAGAGCTCCTCTGGGCCCCAAGGACAGGCTCTTTCCCTCGGCCTTTGGCCTGGTGTCTGCCTGGCTTGGGCTAGTGCTAACAAACCTCCTTAGCTCCACCAATAAGCACCTAGAAGCACCCCACTCTGCAAGAGAATCTCCTGTTCTCAGGCACTCGGCTCTCTCTCCATGGGCTGGCTTGCCGCCTGGCCCCATGGACCTGGAAGCCCGCTGCGCCGTCTCCCGCTGGTCTCCTGTTTCTGCTGCTGCCATTTCTCTGTCACTGCTTCACGTCATCTCGCACCATCTCGTGTTACAGCTGTCTTCTGGGTCTAGTAGGTTCTTGGCACAGGGACCTTGGGTCCAAAAGACGTGCTCCACTCCCAGTTCTACATGGAGGTAACGAGGTCCCCTCTTTTGCCTCTGGGATGGCCCATTTCAGGCCTCGGGGGATGGCAAAACTGATGAACCCCCTCATTAGGGTTCCATACACCTTATCTGCATCTTTGACCTTCATCAACAGCTGCTTCGAGTCACGTTCAGTTTTGGCAAGCAAGGCTGTGTGGCTGCACCAGCTGTAAAATCCCCTCGGTGGGCCACAAACGCCTTATTTGCATAGCCCGACCCAATTATCTTGTGCGAGTTGAGACCATGCATGGCCGCCAGGGTCATGTTAAGCAACTCATTGTACCACAACGGGAGATTTCCTTGAGGCAGACTACACCTGATTTATTTTCACCTCCTTTCTATGGTATCTACCATCGATGAGGCACAGCAGGTTCTCAATAAATATATGTTGAATGAATGAATAATACTAGCTTTTATTGGTATATGATTATCCACTTTTGCCTTAAGTCAAACTTTTTCTTCCATTCTTTTTCAACCTGAATTGATCAGTTCCAATTACCCAATGTTTATTGTTGGTATCAGTTGTCATTGAGTCAGCTTCAACTCCTGGTGACCTCATGTGTAACAGAATGAAATGGTGCCCACCCCTCTGCCATATTCATGGTCATTGTGGTACAGATAGTGCTGTCAGTCTGTCTCAGTGATGCTTCACCTCATTGTCATTGACCTTCTACTTCACCAAAGACAATGGCCTTTTCTAGCTGCTGGCCTTTCCTGATGACATGTTGGAAGGAAGCAAGTCAAACTCTCACCATCCTCACTTTAAAGGAACATCCTGATGGTATGTTTTCTAAGATTGACTTGTTGCTCTTTTGGCAGTCTGTGGTATATTCAGTATTCTTTGACCACCACAGTTGGAACGTATCAATATTTCTTCTGTCTTCCTTTTTTATTATTCAAATTTCACATGCATATCAGCTGATTGGGTCAGATGCCCCTTAGTCATTAAAATGTTACCTTTACTTTTTAAGAGGACTTTTGCAGAGTATTTGCCTGATGCAGTCTGCTGTTTCATTTCTTGACTGCTGCTTCCATGAGTGTTGATTACTGATCCACGTAGAATGGAATCATTAACAACTTCAATTTCTTCTCCATTCGTCATCATGTTGTTTATAGATATAGCTGTTGAGTAGTTTTGGTTTCTTCACGTTCTGGTGTACTCCATACTGAAAGCAGGGCTGTATCCTTCTACCTTACCTATCAATCTGTATGCTGAACAGATAATTCAGGAAACAATTATAAAAGGATACAGCACCAGGATTGGAGAAAAAATTAATTAACAATCTGCGATACGCAGATGACACAACCTCGTTTGCCAAAAATGAACATGACTCGATGCAATTATTGAAGGTCAAAGATGCTTTTTAGTCTATAGTAATTAAACAATTTGGTATCATAAAAAGGCTACAGGGTTTCTACGGAAAAAATCTGAATTTCAGTCTCAGCTTTGCCATTGCACCTCTCCAAGCCTCATTTCCCTCATGTCTGATTCACAGAAGGCAGAAATTGTGTCTCATTTATCTTTGTATTCTGTCACTGCTCGAATAATTTCTTTTACAAGAATCAGCACAAGGCTGGTCCCTATGAGGCAGAGGTTGAAGATGTCCCCAATGCGCAGCTTTTCCAAACGGCCGTTATCACTCCGCCATCTCTAACAGTCACTGCTCCTCCTGCTCTCAGTACTCTCCCTCCCATCTTAGAGTTTCATAATTCCCCGTAACATCTCACAGGACTCACAGACCACCAAGGAAATGGCTCGCGTGGCTGTGGGAGCTGGCAAGTCCCAAATCTGTGTGTCAGGTGTCAGTTTAGAGGATTCTCTTCACTCATGTGGTTGCAGGGGCTGACAACCCAACTCAGCAGGTCAGCTAACAGGCTGCTGTCTCAAGTCTCAAGAACCAGAGGTCAGATGACGACAAACCAGAGGCAGGGTCCAGAGCAACAGAGAGAACTTTGCCGGAGCACTCAGCACACTGAACGCAGACCACTCCCTCAAGGGAACTAAGGGTGGTGACTTGACTCATATCTCTAGTAAGGCAGTGACTCAAGATACGTCCCATCCTAATCCTGCCTCATTAACAGACAACTCACTCCAAAATGGGACCATAACCACAGGCACAGAGGCTAAGATTTACAGACCATCACAAAATGGAGGACTAAGGAATTGCTTGCCCCACACCATCCTAGCATAGTATCTGGCTTATAACAGTAACAGCTGATATTTACTGAATAACTACATGGAAAATGCTATTTGTTTTCCTTTTAAAAAACTGTGTAAAATATACAGAAAATTTACCATTGTAAAGTGTACTATTCAATGCCTCTTAAGTACATTTACAATGTTTTGTAACCATTACCACTGTCTATTTGCAGACCATTTTAATCACTCCGAACAGAAACTCTGCACCCATATTGATCAGTAACTTCCTGTCTCTCTCTCCCCCAAGCCGCTGGTAACCACTATTCTACTTTCTGTCTCTATAAAAAAATACTAAAAACCACTCACTGCTGTTGAGTCATATCTGACTCACAGCAACCCCTCCTTGGGTTCCTGAGGGTATCACTACAGAAGTAGATTGCCCAACCTTCCTCCCGAGGAGTAGTTGTTGTTACGTGCCGTCGAGTCGGACCTGACTCATAGCGACCCCTCCTTGGGTTTCTGAGGCAGTATCACTACGGAAGTAGATTGTCCCATCTTCCTTCCGAGGAGTGGCTGGTGGGTTTGAACCACTAGCCTTCTGGTTAGCAGTCAAGTGCCTTAGCACTATGTCAATCTGCCTATTCCAGATTCCTCATGTAAGTGGAATCATGTATTATTTGTCCTTTTGTGTCTAACTCATTTCACTTAGCATAGTATCTGCAAGTCTCAACCATTTTATAGCATTATCAGAATTTAATTCCCCTTTTATCTGAATACCACTCCACTGAATGGAAAAAAAAAAAAAATGTATGTAATGGGCAGAATACTGAACGATGCAGGAAGCATCAGAAGAATACGGAAAGAACACACAGAGTCACTGTACCAAAAAGAAATGGTCAACATTCAACCATTTCAGGAGGCAGCATACAATCAAGAACCAATGGTATTGAGGGAAGAAGTCCAAGCTGCTCTGAATCACTGATAAATAATAAGGCTCCAGGACCTGATGGAATACCCATTGAGATGTTTCAACCGACGGGCAAAATGGTGGAAATGCTTACTCATTTATATTAAGGAATTTGGAAGACAGCTACCTGGCCAACCAACTGGAAGAGATCCATATTTGTGCTCATTCCAAAGAAAAGTGATCCCACAGAATGAGGAAATTACCAAACAGTATCATTAATATCACATGCAAGTAAAATTTTGATGAAAATAATTCATAACCGATTGCAGCAGAACATCAACAGAGAACTTCTAGAAGTTCAGGCCCAATTCAGAGAAGGAGGTGGAATGAAGGCTATAACTGCCGATGTCGGATGAATCTTGGCTGAAAGCAGAAAATACCAGAAAGATGTATTCCTGTGTTTTATTGACTACACAAAGACAATCAACTGTATGAATCATAACAAATTATGAGTAACAATGCAAAGAATGGGAATTGCAGAACAGTTGATTGTGCTCGTGAGGAACCTGTACATGGACCAGGAGCTAGGCATTTGAACAGAACAGGGGATGCTGCATGATTTATAATCCGGAAAGGCATTTGTCAGGGTTGTGTCCTTTCACCACACTTAACTCAATCTGTATGCTAAGTAAATAATCTGAAAAACTGGACTGTATGAAGAAGAACTTGGCAATCAGGATTGGAGAAGACTCATTAATAACCTGTGGTATGCAAATGAAACCACCTTGCTTGCTCAAAGTGAAGAGGACTTGAAGCACACACTCATGAAGATCAAAGACTACAGCCTTCCATAGATTACACCTCAACACAAAGAGAACAAAATTCCTCACAACCTGACCAATAAGCCACATCACTATAAACGGGGAAAAGATAGGAAGTTATCGAGGATTTCATTTTACTTGGATCTACAACCAACACCCATGGAAGCAAAAGTCACGGAATCAAAGGACATACTGCAATGGGTAAAGCTGCTGCAAAAGATCTCCTTAAAGAGCAAAGATGCCACTTTGAAGACTAAGGTGCGCCTGACCCAAGCCATGGTATTTTCCATTGCCTCACATGCATGTCAAAGCTGGGCAATGAAAGAAGAAGAGCCCAGAAGGACTGATGCATCCGAATTACAGTTTCAGCAAAGAACACTGACTACAGCATGGGCTGCAAGAACGAACAAACGGGCCTTGGAAGAGGCACAGCCGGGATGCCCCTCACAAATGAGAATGGCCAGGCTTTGTCGCTCACACTTTAGTCATGTTGTCAGCAGGGACCAGACCCTGCAGAAGGTAAAGCAGAGGGTGAGTGGAAGACGAGGACTCTCAAGGAGACGGATGACACAGCAGGTGCAACAACGGGCTCAAGCACAGCCATGACTGTGAGGATGGCGCAGGACCGGGCAGGGCTTTGTTCCATGGCACCTGGGGCCGCTACGAGTTGAAGTGACCTGACAGCATCTAACAACAAATATACCAACATATGTCACATTAAATATATTTGTATTTCTATGGTTTATATATTATATTCAGTTAAACATATGTTAAATAAATACATATATTTAAATACCACATTTGCTTATCCACTCACCTGCTGCTGGACCTTTGGGTCATCTCCATCTTTTGGCGACTGAATAATACTGCTATGAACGTTGGTGTTTGAGTCTCTGCTTTCAGTTCTTTGGGATATATACCTAGAGCTCCTGGATCACATGGCGATTCTAAGTTCAACTTTTTGAAGAAACATCAAACTATTTCCACAGCAACTGTACCATTTTATATTCCTACCAGCAATGCAAGGAGGTTCCCATTTCTCCACACTCTCACCAACGTTTGCTATTTTCTTTCTTTCACAAGGCTATCGCAGCAGAGGTGAAGTAGTTTCCCATTGTGGTCATGATTTGCATTTCCCTAAAGACTAAACGATCAACATCTTTTCATGTGCTTATTGGGCATTTGTATATTTTCTTTGGAGAAATAACTATTAAATTCCTCTGCCATTCTTAAAATCGGGTTATTTGTTCTTTTGTTGTTGAGTTACAGGAGTTCCTTATATAGAAGCTCTGGTAGCGTTGTGAGCAAGACATTTGGCTGCTAACCAGAAGGCTGGTGGTTCAAACCCACCAGCTGTCCTGTGGGAGGATGATGAGATAATCTACTTCCATAAAGACTCAATGGGGGTCACTATGTGTCAGAATCGATTTGATGGCAGTGGGTTAATTCCTCATCAGATACGTGATTATAAATATTGTCCTCCATTCTGTGGGCGTCTTTTCACCCGCTTGATAGTGTTCTTTGATACACAAACACTTTTCATTTTGATGAAATCCACTTTATCTATTTTTCCTTTTGTTGTCTATGTTTTTGGTGTTTTTTAAGAAATCATTATCTAATCCAAGGTCATGAAGATTTTCACCTAATTCTCCTCTAAGAGTTTTATGTTTTTGCTCTTAGATTTATGTCTTTGATCCACTTTGAGGTAATTTTTGTCCATGGCGTAAGTTAAGGGTCTAGCGTCCTTGTTTTGCGTGTGGATATCCAGTTTTGCCAATACCATTTGTTGGAAGACTCTTTCTCCATTAAATGGTGCTTCTAAAAATCCTTGTAAAAAATCCATTGACGTATTTTTATACACATTAACTGATTTCATACTCACAAAACCCCATGACAGTTAGGTATTTCTATTATCCCCATTTGACAGATGAGGCAAAGGAGGCAAAGAGAGCTTAAATGGCTTATTCAAAGTTACGCAGTTAGTAATGGCAGAGTCAAGATATGAATCCAGGCAGTGGGGTTTCAGGGCTTGCATTCAACCATGAGGCCATTTTGTCTCTCTCAGTAAATGTTCTCTTAATGAATGAAAGAGAGTAACATTGGCTTCAAAACTATTGAGAGTAAGGGAGAAGATACAAATAGCACTTGTTTTTTTAAAAAAATTTTATTCTGATTAGGGTGAAAGTTTACAGAGCAAGTTCATCTTCCATATAGCAGCTCACATACACTTTGTTGCATGACACTGACCACAATCTCCTGCAATCAACAGCTCCCTCCCACTTCCTCCCCATAGTTACCGCTTCCTTGTGTCCTTCCCTTCCATGCACTCCTGCCCTCCCCCAGCTGTGTCCCTGTGCATACACAGCCCTTCTATTCTCCCATGACTGTTCTCTCCAAGGAATGTATCTACCTCAGGTAAATGTTCAGCTCATATGCCTGTCTTTTGTTTGGCTGGAAGCCACAAGGGTGGGTTCCGTTCCAGACCTGAAGGGCAGTGAGGGGCCATAGTCTCAGGGGTTCCATCAGGCTCCATCAGACCAGCAAACATGGTTCTTTTTTTTTTTTTCTTTAATGATTTTAAGTTTTGTTCCATATTGTTCTCCCACTCTATAAGTAGCACTTTGAAAACTTTAAGGAGAAATATGTCATGGTCTTATATTAAGGTCACTGCTATTGAAATTATGTCCCTGAGGTCCTGCAAGATCCTAACATATCTTTCAATACTTACCCAAGGAGTCACTGGTACCTTTAAGGCTATGACTCAAATTCTTGGCCTAGCAGCATTCAGTGTTTAAGTGTAATTAATTGTATTCTAATTCTTAGATTTGTGGCAGCATATGTCTTTGTAAATCACAATATCTATAAATCACTGAGTTGTGAAGTTTAAAGAAGGAAAACTAGTTTAAACCTCACATTTTACAAATGAGGAAATTAAGACCCAAAGTGATAAATGATTTGTCAAAGGTCACAGAGCTAATTAGTGGCTAAGCCAGGAATGGGCCATTCCTCAGAACTCTGACTCCTGGACCAATACTTTCACTGATTTACAAAATTATCCAACTGCTCAGTCCTTGTTCTATGGGAGGACACAAAGGTAGAGGAGTTTGGCAGAGAGAACGAAAATGAAGTGGGAATAAAGTAACCGCAAATGTTTTCAATTAAAATGAAGACACAGCAGCCTGGTCTGTGTGTTTACAGTTGAGTTTCCTGGACGTCAAGCACTAGGCAGTGGTTGGGATGGTGAGGTTTCCCAGAGCCCTGCAAGGCACAGTCCTCCGGAAGCAACCTCTATGCCAGCTGCCACAAAAGAGAGCTGCTGACGGCTGGGAACTCTGGGGAAACAAAACAACTCAGCCTCAAAGGTGCTGACACTTCAACTAGGAGGATTGAGGAAGATCGCCAGCTTTCAATTTCCCTGGAAAAATAGTCAAGATCCTTTGCAGAGGAAAAATGGCAGGGAAAAACCAAGTTACCAAATGGAGGCTGTGACTCAGTTGGTAGGACACAATTCAAACCCGGACACGGACACATCCCCGGCATCAAGAGTAACTTCCCCAGAACGTGTGTGCCTGTGGCCTACCTCCAGCTCCCGGATGATCACTTCCTTATTTTCTATCTCTTCCCCTCTAGAAGGTAAAAGACAAGAAGTGAGTCAGCCAAGAAGGAAGCTCTGGAGAAAGTAGACTAATGGAGCAAAAAGGACCCTTCCACTGAGCTAAAGAAATACAACGTAAGCGATTACGTGTGCTGACCGGGTGCTCCTGGGGAAGAAGTAATCACCCTGGTGGTGTGGTCTCAGCACTTGTTCAAGCATGTATCAAAACGTCTTCTCCACTAACCCGTCATTCCTGCTGTGAAAGTTAGTAATTTATTACACCAGTTGGACCCAAGTGTGCACCGTGGACCCCTAGGAGTCAAGACACTGCCAAGGGGTCTCCAAGGGCAAAACTAGTTTCATAATAATTCTCAAATGTCACTGCCTTTCTCACTGTGCTGACATTTGTACCCATAGTGCCAGAGCAATGGTGGGCGAAACCACGGGTGCCTCAGCACAAATGCAGGTAGTTGAAGTAAACCATCCCAAGCAGCCAGAATAACCTTTCCTTCCACAGAGGAGGAAAAAAACTTCCAGTTTCACTGCATATCCTGGAGGAAACAGTGAAAAATAATGTTTTATTTTATTAGAGTTCAATTCTTGAGATAAAAATGGGAAGCTTTCATAAAGTACTTCTGCTGCAGACTCTGCTATGATGCTTGTCCCAAGGAAACGCACGACTGTGTAAAGGTGCAAACCAAACCAGCTGCCTTTTGCATGGAATGATACCTATGTGAACAATCAGCTGGCAAGACAAACAATGGCTATTGCTCAGACTTGGAAGCTGACAGACATTTTCTCAAAAATGAACAAAGTGAGCTTGTCACCTGAAGGAAAACAACTGACAGTATTTGTTGCCAATGATAAATTTTGCACTTTCAAGCAAAAGTCTGAATTTTGGAAAACTATGGTTCACCACTGTGAGCTTAGCAGACTTCAAATACTTAATGTCTTTTCTGATAAGAATGGTAGTTTTATTAACAAATGTGATTTTTTAAAATTATGTATAATGAAATGTGTAAACCTTTGGACAATCTGCATAACTCGGTGAACCAGTATTTTCCAAATGACCAATGAAATGGTTAATGTTAAAAATCATCCTTGGTCAGAAAGGCACTTAAATAAGGTACACCAATGGATGTTAACACAGTCCAGTGAAAAAAGTCCACTGCTATAATTTCAGATTCCACAGTGCAACTGACCTTTAAAAACTACTATTTAAAAAACCAAAAAAACAACTAACACTGGTTGCGTTCAGATGTAGCAGTCGGAGAAGAGTTAACCACAACGCCCTGGAAAGGCTGCTTATGCTTGTCCCAGCCACACGTCGGTGTAAGGCTGGCTTTTCTTCATATACCTTAACCCCACAAAAAAACACTCGTAACAGACTGAACGCAGAAGCAGATACGATAATTTACCACAGTAGTCTTCTATCAAGCCAGACTTTTAATGAAAATTGCCAAAGTGTAAAACATGCCGATCTTGTTGTTTGTTTTTGGAAAATATAGTTATTTCTAATAAAGCTGTTACCTGTTAACATTTAATATATGCATTCTTGTTTTAATATAGTATTTTTAATTTTTTAAATTTCTATATGATAAATGGGAGCTCTGGTAGCATAGTGGCTAAGGCACTTGACTGCTAACCAGAAGGCTGGCAGTTCAAACCCACCAGCCACTCCTCAGAAGGAAGATAGGGCAATCTACTTCCGTAGTGATACTGACTTGGAAACCCAAGGAAGGGTTGCTGTGAGTCGGGTCCAACTTGACGGCACATACCAACAACAACAACAACATATGATAAATATTGATAAAGTCTATATAATCAAAGGCTCTTTGGGGTCCTCAGTAATTTTAAGAGTTCAAAGGGGTCCTGAGACCAGAAAAAATTGAGAACCACTGCTCTGAAGGTATGCCATTCCTAATTTAGAAACATACATGGATAATATGTACAAAATGCCTGGGGCTAAGGCTCTTAGCAAGGGCTCATTCAGCCAGCCTCTTGGACGGGGCCAAGGCAGGGAAGGAAGGAAGACCTGCAGCAAAGTGCTACCTGTACTGGCGGAGGCTACTCTCCTAGGTTTAAACTTACCTGATGCTGTTGCCATATCTGATTTTGAATTTATACACACTGAGTCCTGTGTGGAAAAATCTCGTCTCTGGGAACGGATAGGTGAAGGGTTTTAAACTCATTGCTTCCACACGACAGCCTGAATAAAGTAGAAACATCAGAGAATTACTGGCAAAGGAAGGGAAGAGGCCCTGCCCAATCTGTCATCTCCTCAGGAGAGAAACGGCCAACGCTCAGCACCACTGCTCCGGGTTCATGGCTGCTGCGAATCACCCTCACCGTTCTCCAACCTGCATGGGGAGGACACACGGTACGTTCAGCTGACTTCTACGCATGACGTCAGACCTGAGTTCAAGTTTTGTCATTTACTTTATGACCTTGTGCTCTCCCATGAGACTAATGATAGTAACTTCTGCCCTGATGACTTACAAGGGTCTTTGTGAGGATTAAATCTATCTCCGATATTTCTCTTGACTCTATTCTCCTCCCCTACCCCTTTCCCTAGAACCTAGACAGGATGAAGAGGGCTCAAGTCCAATGAGACAATCCAGAAGATATACCAATAAGAGGCACAATTAGGAGGCCCTCTGTTGTTAATTTTAGATGAAGTTAAGGGGTTAACTCCAGTCACAGCCTGTGCAGGGAAAGGTTTCCCCATAGTGCCAAAGATTGCTTTAGCTTCCTTACTCCTCAATTCTTCTCCACCACAAGTATGACCACCCTGTGTCCCAAGAGTGGTAGTTCCTACCACTTAGTAGCTTTACTTTTCTCATTTCAGAATCTCTGCCCACTTACCCTCTGGGGGAGACTCAGGACAGGGAGGTGGATGGCACACTTCTTCTCCCCCAAGAGGGCAGCTGGCACATGCTCAGAGGGCAGCATGAAGCACATGGAGATTTCCTAAGTCACTAGGACTTCCCTGGACCTCTCTTTATTTGTCTCTTCCCATGAAGTTTAAATGATAAATAAAGAGGTCCAGAGTCCCTGAGGATCACAGCATCCCATATATAACACAAGACTCATGTCAGACACAGCCGAGATGGAGGCAGGATGGGCACAGAGTAAGAAAAATCTGAGTCTGAATCTCATGTCAACGTCCCTACTTAGTTTCTCTGGGTCTTGGTTTTCTTAGTTTTATAACAGTGACAACAACCACCACCAACTTTTTGCCATGTCCCATTCTAAGTGCTTTATTATGTCACCTCACTTAACCTTCATAACAGCCCAACAAGAGAAGTAGCCTAAATTTGATAAGATGAAAAAACTGAGGCACTGAGTGACAAAGTAAGCTGGCTGTAACCAGGAGTGTGGAACTGGCATCAGACGGAGACAGCACAGAGTAAGACTTGGGACTCTCGATTACTGTACCAGGCAGCTTCCTGGGGTAGTTATGAGGGAAAAACAAAACGATGAATATAAAATCATTTTATGAATACTAAAGTAGCACACACATAAGGGACTATTTTCATTATTCTTTTCTCTGTATTATCTTGATGCCATTTCTCAACAGGAAAAAGAAATAAAACAAAAAACCTTTGTATGCTGGAGGTCAGGAGATCTATGTGCCTAAAGAACGGAATTTCCCACAATTTCCAGAGTTCAAGTCTAGGACTGCCAGTAAAGAGATACCCCAGTGTCTGATCTCGGCTGCTAGGGATTAGACGGACAGGAGGTCGGAGCCAGAGCCCATGAAACTATTTAGACTAGAACTGCAGTCAAAAGCGGAAAAAAAAAAAAAAAAATTGCTGGTGCCAACTACAAAGTCACCAGGGGAAACACTGTTCAAATCCTGAGAAAAACTGGCTGATGCTCTGTGGCCGAGGTGCGGCAGGAACTAGGCTGGATTCAATGGAGGCTTTGGGGCCAGGTAACTTTTCTAAGAAGTCACCTGGTGAGTGGTTTTCAGCTACAGAAACTCAGCTGTCAATTACTGAGGGCTCCTCTAAGTATTAGCCACCTCTCTGCAGACAATGAGGGTGGGAGCATCAGAGCAAAGGGAAGGAGGGACATTTGCTGGCAATGACAATCCAGAGAGGACGCTTCATGGGCTGGGCCACAGCTAGCTGTCTGAAGGAAGGGAAAAACAACCCTCTTCTAGCTGAGGCTTGTCCCTGTTCACTGTTGACTACCCGCTTCAGAAACAAACACCACGCACTAATTACCTCATTTGAAAATAAAGATTAGACAGCATAATCCAAAACCACCACACAGCAGCAGAGGATCAAAGATTTCACGAGGTTATTTTCCAACATGACTATTGTAGCCATGATGACACAACACCCAGTAATTATGAAGTTAGTGGGGTCTGGCAGGTGAAGGGTCAGATTCTCGACACATTTTTAGACTCCAAAGCATGACGACTTTAACACAAAGTAGGAAAAATTACAGGGAGTATGGGATAGTGGAAAAGACATGAGATTTGTAATTAGAGGCCCAAGCTTTGAGACTTAGTTCTGTCTCTTATTAGCTGTTTAGACCCTGAGCAAGTCACTTAGGCTCTAATTTTTCAATTGATAAAATGGAGATTCTACCTACCCCCAGATTGTTTTAGGGGTTAAATGAGGTAACACTGTAAATAGCACTTCATAAACTCTACAGTGACAGCTCAGATGGCACAGTGCCTAAGGCACGTCACTGCTAACCAGAAGGCTGGAGGTTCAAACCCACCAGCCACTCTCCGGAAGGAACGTTGGGCAATCTACTTCCGTAGATATATCACCTTGGAAACCCAAGGAGGGGTCGCTATGAGTTGGATCGACTCGACAGCAGGGAGTTTGGTTTTTTTGGAAACTCTAGACTATTATGGGAACTTTAGGTGCTCTGATAGATTTGAAGAGTTTCTGTCTTCACTAGAAAAGCAAATTCAAGAGTAAAACTGATTAGCTTTCATCTCAGTGCAAAATCTGGCAAATCTCACCCGAGACCTTTTCCTTGAAAATCTCCAAAAATGACATTTAAAGGACACACAGGCACAACCTAAGGAAAAGAAAGATTTTTCAAGGCTTTAGTAATTTGTTTCACATAAATAAACATCTGGGTCAGTGCACAGAACCTGGAGCAAAGCTTAAAGCTACAGGAGGATAATGATACTGACTGCTGAGGTGGAAGGAGACGGCAATAAGGAAGTACTGTCGCCACACATAGCTGGTGATAGCTGATCGGAAAATCCGCCACAGTGTTGAAGAACAAAAGAACTTCCACAAACAGTTTTCCAAAATACAGTGACTAAGCAGATCCAACACGGTAGGCTCTGTGACTGTTAATGGGTGTGGGTAACAAAACAGAAATCCCACTGATACTAAGAAACTAACACTTATGTTTTGGAGATGAAGTTGAGGACAGATGACCAGTTTCTCCCTCTACTTCCAGAAATTCCTGGCTGGTCTCAGGGATCTGCCCAACTTTGCTGAAGTAGATTCAGACTCTCTGAAAATCTCTATTTCCAAGTACAGATTCCTATATGCCTACAGGTGGAAGTGTTCTTCATTTCAGAGGAGAGGACAAGGAAGTGATTTTACCAAAGAAGGAAACAGCTCCACAAGGTCATGTAATTCAGTATGGAAGCAGGATTAGCGCATTGAGACTGCCGATTTCGTTGGCCTATGCATTCTCCACTACAACACACATCCTGGCCATTCATTTTATTGACTCATTTATTCTAACTCTGACCACTCTCATGACTCTGGATTACTCAAGGTAAACTCCATCTGGGCACAGAGAATCAAACCAATATGTAAGCTTTTCTGACTAAAGGCTCTTAGACGATATCATGGGGTATAAAGGACTACATCCACATTTATTTGTCTTCAAGCTCTATTTTCAAAAGGAACTAGTCTAATTTTCCTCACCCACAAAATGGGGATAACACTTACCTTGCAGGGTGATTAGAATGATTAACAACAACAACAAAGCGTGTATAATTGTTTATTGTAATACTCAGTATGTAACTCACTGCTGTCAAGTTGATTCTGCACTCATAGCAATCCTACAGGACAGAGCAGAACTGCCCAACAGGCTGATATGGGACAAGGAGAGACTCACCCAAGACTATTCAGGGCACTTTCATTCTTATTGATGATGTTATTTTGTTTTCTAATTAGGTTTCTTCCCACTCTTTCTGGTAAAATAATCTTTAAAATGCCATTGGCATCTGGGCAGAAATAGAGTTGTTCTTGGAATGATGTCAGATTTCGTTCTGCTTTGTTTGAGGGAGGATAACAAAATCTTCTAACATAGAGGTAAGAAGATGCCCTGAAATGAAATCAAAAGGCCTAATGACAACTCAACAGACCAGAAAGGAGTGACTTTCGTAAGTCACTCCCTACACCTAAGTGCCTTTTTCACTTCCACCTCACCCAACCTAAGAGCTAATGAAAAACTACCTCTTGTGAGCAGGTCTAGGACTGTGCTCCTTATTCTGGAAAAGCAATACGAGGTAATCTCATCTCGCACCCCGCCCAGTAGTCCTGGCCTGTTACTTGACGCTTGACCTGTGTACTAGCATCAGCATTCACATCACACTGAGCTCACTGCAGCACTCTTAAACTCCTACCAACCCCAGGAGCCCAAAAACCATCTGGATGTAAACCTGCAGGCAAAGAGGGACACTGTACTATTTGGTTACACCACTGGGTAAGCTGCCCTGAAGCAGTACATATAAGGAAGAAGATTAAAAATTTTAAAAAGCGTCAGTAGTTTCAGAAGGGCAAATCGTGTTTTAATATTCTTAAAAAGGTAGAGAGAATATCCTCAGCTAGAGAGAAAGGAAGCATCTTTTACAATTTTGAGCTGGAAACCTAAGTCCCTGATGTACATATCTTGAGGGTCCTAGTGACAGAAAAAAGAAACAGGGGAAGTGTGAACAGAAAGCTTTCAAAATATACAGCTTTGTTCTGGCAGGCAACAATGGCAGATCCTGAAGAAATTTAAGTTAATAAGAAAACAAAATGACTTTGTATATAAAGAGAGCAAATTTGGGTCAGGAAATTTGAAATATTTTACTAACTTTAATTCAATTCTGGTGAGATATTGGGAAGAGAAGAACTGTACACCTACTTCTCACTTACTGTCTATGTCTCTGATATTTTGGACATTTTGCATTCACAACAATAGTAAAAATTCT